AGAGAGAGACAGACAGCGTGAGCAGGGGAGGGTCAGAGAGAGAGGGAGTCACAGACTGAAACAGGCTCCAGGCTCTGAGCTGGCAGTCAGCACAGAGCCCGACGCGGGGCTCGAACCCACGAACCGCGAGATCATGACCCAAGCGAAAGTCGGACGCTCAACCGACTAAGCCACCCAGGCGCCCCCCCCCCAAATGTTTTCTTATGAGCATCTATTATTTTTTTAGTTTTCTTGAACTAGAACTCACACACCAAACAATTCACTGTTTACAGGGCGTCACCCCGTGGTGTGATATACTCGTCATCGAGGTGCGCGACCCTGGCCCCGTCAGAGAGAACCCCGTACCCTTTGGCTGTGTTACCTTCCTGCCCGCCCCCCCAGCTCCAGCATCCGTGGGTCCCCCTGTTCCAGAGTCTTCAGAATGGAATCACAGAATATGTGATCTTTGTGCGGAGCCTCCTTCGCTCCGTGCGGTCTCCCCGCAGCTGCGTCCAGGCTGTGGTGTGAATCAGAACTTGTCTCCTTTTCCTGGCCAAACAGACCGCCGTGTGCCCACCCGCTTGGCGCCTCCCGGACGCTGGGGTCCCACCTCTGCGCCGCGGTCCACGCCCGTCACTGAGTGTTTGCGTCGCTGTGTTTTCTCTTGGGCCGACGCGTGGGAGTAGAATTTCGGGGCATATGGCGACTATGTTTAAGCGTGTGAGGGGCTGCCAGACTGTTTTCCAAAGCAGCTGCACCCTTTTACATTTACAGCAACTACTATTTTTACAATAAGAAAAATAAAGTCCATCGGGGAGACAGGGATGGGGACAAAATCACGAAGCAGAGCCCTTTCCTGACCGTGCCGGTCACGGTGACCCAGGGTCAGAGCGCGAGGTGCGTGGTGCGGGCGCCGGGGACAGCTGTTAGCGAGCCGGCCAGCAGGCCCAGGGGACAGTCCATGTCGCTCGGGTCTCCTTTTTCGTGGGTCCCTGTATTTGCTAAATTTGCACAAATGACACCTATTGCCTTTGTGATCAGGAAAATAAGTCCTGGGGAGAAGGCACAGGAGACAGAACCTTGTTTGGTGGCGGGAACTTGGTGTCCTGACCGGTCCCCACGGCTTCCGGTTCCCTGCGTCAGGTTTTGTGCGGGTCGGTGAGGAACAAGGCTGTAAAACGCTCACCGAGCCCCAGCTCTCCTCATGTCGCCCTCTAGAGGCAGCCGCCCAAACTGCAGGGCTGCGGGAGCAGGCCGCGGAGGAGGGCAGGCCAGGGTCCTGGGGGGGTGCGGGGGCTCCTGGGGGGGCAGGTGACCTTGGGCTCATGGAACAGCTTCCACTGTCTCCCTGTTAACCAAAGGAGTAGCACCCCCTCCCCTTCCCTGGCCCCGGCAGACTCTAAAAGCTCTCCCTGCAGATTCCCTTCAATCCTTACAACCCCTTCTAAGGAATGGGTTAGGAGCCCCATTTTACAGATGAGGAAAACTGAGTAGATGAACTATGTGCTCCAAATCTGCCTGCATGTGCTTGAACCCACACCCCAGTGGTTATATTTTGGTTGGTGGCCTGACATCAGGTTGAGCGTCTACAGAGCAGACAATTTGGGCAGATGCCGTGCCGGAGGGCGGGGTGGGGAGGTGGCGGGTGTTGGACATCTCTCCGCACTCTCGCGCCCGGCGGCCCTGTTGGGAGCATCCTCCCGCCGCCCTGGTCTCTTACGCTCTGCTGCTTCGTTCGTGTGGTCCAGGCCGTGGAAGCCTCGCCGCCCAGCGTCTAAGCCCGCAGCCCCTCCCCTGCGCCATGTGTGAGGATTCCTCGGGGACTTTGGTACCAGTCCTGGTGCCCAGGAGGCACCGCAGACCAGCTCAGGCAGAATCTCCAGGGGTGTGGCCTGGGCATCGGCATTTTCAAAGCTCCCCAGGGGAGTCCAGGGCGTGGCCGGGACTGGGAGCTGGGGGTCCGACCAGAACCTTCCTGGCCCTGTGTCACAAGCAGACTTCTGTTGCAGGGGGTGCTGAGCAGCTGGGCCGAGCCCCACCAGTCAAGGCCACTCACCCCCCTTCTGAAGGGACTCTCCCGACATTCTTTTCGTCTCCTGGAGCCCCGCGTGGTCGGTCAGAGAGTCCGAGGACCTCGGCACTGCCCTCTCCCCCTGAGATGGGCTTTCTGGACCGCAGGGGGGCACAGCCCAGAAGATGGATCCTGTCCGGCCGTCAGGAGCCCTGGCACGTGGTCTCTGCCGTGTGGCTCAAGTACTCTCCCCATCCCACTGATCGGGAAGTATGGGGAGGCCGCGTGGCTGAAAGGGGACGAAACCAAGAGCTAAGGTGCACACGCCACCTTTGTGGTGACTATTTTGCTGGTGGCGCCTCTTGTTTTGGGGGCGTCAGTGTAGAGTCTATTTTGTTCAGCCCCTTTTTTGAAAGGAAGGGCCTTCTGTGTCCAAATGAATCTTTTTTTCCCCTTAAGTTTAATTTTATTTATTCTGAAAGAGAAATAGAGAGCAAGCAGGGGTGGGGCGGAGAGAGGGAGAGAGAGTCCCAAGCAGGCTCCGCACTGTCAGCGCAGAGCCCGACGTGGGGCTCGAACCACGAGATCATGACCTGAGCTGAAATCAAGAGTCGGACGCTTCACCGGCTGAGCCCCTGGGCGCCCCTTAAACGAAGTCGTTTTGAGTCAAGTGCAGAAAGCCTGGTAATAGTTTCAGTTACTGTTAACGTTGATGTTTCCTCTCACGCGAAAGCTTGTTCATTCATATTTGCCGTCAAAGCTTATTCACCACGTGACGTGTCTGTGCTGTGGGCTCTTCCCACACCCGAGGCCGCTGAATGGTCCCCAGTCTGAACAGGAAGCTAATTCTACAAGTAACTGCAGTGCACGTTTATAGGCTCCCTGCAACCAAAGCCATCCGAATTGTAGCTCCGCTTGTAGTAAAAATTAACATGCGGGGCGCCCGGGGGGCTCAGTCAGTGAAGCATCCGACTTTGGCTCAGGTCACGATCTCACAGTTTGTGGGTTCAAGCCCCGCATCAGGCTCTGTGCTGACAGCTCAGAGCCTGGAGCCTGTTTCCAATTCTGTGTCTCTCTCTCTGCCCCTCCCCCCGCTATGCTCTGTCTCTCTCTTTCTCTCTCTCTCTCTTTCTCAAAAATAATTAACATTTGACAGATAGGTGTCTGTCGTCTTCCACTACTTCACATTTAACACTAGAAGCCAGCGAGTGACGTGCTGCACATTTTAGGTTTCTCACTGGCCCCGGAGCCCAAGAGCCGCAAAAGGCACTTCAGGCAGTGGCTGACTCACCCTTGACGGGGGCCCGGCTTGTGTGGCTTCTTCCCCAGCTCGGCGACCGAGCTCTGGATCCAATCCGGTGTTTACTGTCTGAGCACAGACTCCATCTCATCCTCCTGGAGTCTGGACGGGACACCCAGGAATCCCGGGGCGCAGTGGACCACGCGGCCAGCGCTGGCCACGGCCCGGGGCAGCCCACCTCCTCTCGGGCTGATGATTCAAGTTCACGTGTTGAGCCGGGCACCACGAGACACTCATGTTCAGGAACTGTTCTAGAACGGGCCCTGTAATTTTCTTCTGCGGTCCTTGCCTCCAAGAGGAAAAAGAAGCCTGTGGTCCTCAGTTACACATTTTACTTAGTTCCTGTTTTCCTCTCCAAGAAGGACCGTGTGTTTTTCCAAGGCAGACGTAGTAGAGTGTGGCAACGGACGGGCACATCATGCATCCCAGCCAAGTCTTGATACCTATACCTGCACCGAAAGGGTGTCCTTTTAACACCCCAAAATGCTGCTGCACTTGATTCCCAACATCCAAGGTCAATGGTAGCCCCGTACCCAGGCCCACGGAAGACAGACCGTCTGCATCGCATCTCCTGCCCTTCCATCCTCTATCTACCCTTGGCGGAAGCTCGAATTCATAGTGAACAGGTCAACAGGGGAGACCACAAAGAAGACAGATAATGAAGTGAATCGTTCGAACAAACACCCCCGTGTCATTGTCAGTAAAGTTTTACTGAGCAATTACTATGGGTGAGGAACAACGGATAAAAAAGGATTAAGGCACAATGGTTACTTTCATGCTTAAGTTCTGGTTGACCAGCAGGATGCATAAGAAAGGCCAAGAGCAACAGGAAGTGGGACGTTGATGCTCGCCAAGCGAGACAGCAGACATCCCTGGAGGAGTTTGGAGGGCAGAGCCAGCACGGGCCCAGCCTGTCTGTCTGTGAAGAACGGCCCAGCCGCGCCAGAGGAAGGGCTGCAGCTCGCATCCTGCATGGGCCATGCGCACCCGGAGAATCCCGGGGACGGGAATGAGTTCCTTGCCATCTGTCCATGCCTCTCCCTCCTTAGTTGCTCTGGACTCCTAGAAAGTGGCTAGGCACACGGTTCTAGGGGGGAAAAAGCCAAATACTTATTTTGTTTGTTTGTTTTAAGAAAGAGATGGGGCGCCTGGGGGGCTCAGTCAGTTAAGCGTCCGACTTCGGCTCAGGTCATGATCTCACGGTTCGTGGGTTCGAGCCCCGCATCCGACTCTGTGCTGACAGCTCAGAGCCTGGAGCCTACTTTGGATTCTGTGTCTCCCTCTCTCTCTGACCCTCCCCTGCTCACACTGTCTCTTTCTCTCTCTCTCTCTCTCAGAAATAAATAAGACATTAAAAATTTTTTAAAAAGAGAGAGGGGTGCCTGGGTGGCTCTGTCGGTTAAGCGTCGGACTTCAGCTCAGGTCATGATCTCACGGTTCGTGGGCTCGAGCCCCGCGTCGGGCTCTGTGCTGACTGCAGCTCGGAGCCTGGAGCCTGTTTCAGTCTGTGACTCCCTCTCTCTCTGACCCTCCCCTGCTCACCCTCTCTCTCTCTCTCACCTAGAAATAAATAAAAATATTTTTTAAAAAATAAATAAAATAAAATAAAAAGAGAGAAGGAGAGAGCAGGAAAGGAGCAGAGAAGAGGGAGGGAGAGAGAGAATACCGAGCAGGTTCCGCAGTATCAGTGCAGAGCCCAACGCGGGGCTCGAATTCATGAATCCTAAGATCATGATCTGAGCTGAAGTCAGATGCTTAACCGACTGAGCCCCCCAGGTGCCCCCACAGTGACATTTATTTGCGATGGGGCCGCAGTCGACAAGCCGCGTTATTCACCCAACTACGTTTCTGTTAGTGGATCCTCCACGGCCAGTGCTCTGCCTGAGGTCGTTAAGCCGGAGACACTGGGCTCTGTCAGGTGCGGTGTGCCCAGGGTGCCGCCCGAGGCCCCTGCCCGCCCCCCGGGGAGCCCCCCGCTGCCCGGCCGGGCTCCGCCGCTCCTCCCTGGGCATCTGCGCGTCTGGACCAGATGCCGTCACAGCTGCAGGGCTGGGGGTTGAAACGGCCCCCCGAGCCCGCCTCACATTCCGTCATCCCCCAGAATGCACTTGGCTGTCTTTGGCCCCCCCTTGGCCAATGCCAAGGCCGTCACCAGCGTGAACTCGCCAGTGGGAGGGAGGGAGGGAGGGGTGGAACCAGGAGCCTGAGGTGCAACGAGAGACCAACGCCTCGTCCTCCCCAGGGAAGGGAATTTGGAGCCGATTCCCAGTTCCGTGAGAGCGCGGTTTTGCCGTTCCTGGTGGAACAACCCAGACAGGCTTCGCGTCTGAAATGTCTGAAAAGTAAAACAGGAAACAGAACGACCCACATGCAGCGCAATCTGTTCTGCGCCCATCCGTGTGCGTGCAAGGATACCGGAAGGAAATGCACCCAGGCGTCGGCTGTGATGGAAATGGGAGGTTTCCCCGTATCCTCTCCTGTGTCTGCCGAGCGGCCACGGCGAGCACACATCCTTCTCGTGCTCAGGGCAAGGGCTGCTGCGACCCGAGTGGCACAGAGCAGGCCGCTCACCCAGCAGGGACTGATCTCCTCGCAGTCCTGGGGGCTGGGAGCCCGAGATCCAGGCGTGGGCAGGGCCGGCTTCTCCTGACGGTCACCCGCTCAGTGGCCTCAGTTGCTTGGCCCTCTGTGCGCTTTTGTGTCCAGATCTCTTATAAGGAGACTGTTCTTACTGGACGCGGGGTCCCCATGTGACCTCATTTAACTTACTGACCCCTTGGAAGACTTCAAATACAGGCATGTCGCGAGGTGCTGGGGTGGGGGTGGGGGGCGGGTTAGGGCTTCGACACAGGACGACACCCTGGAGGAAACCTCGCACAGCCCACAGCACACGGTATTGTCAGTAGTAAAGTTCTAGGCGCCGAGCCGTGCTCGGGGGCGGGAGGAGGGTGCGTATCTTGCCCTGAGCTTGGTGATCCCTGTCTCCCCAGGAAAGGCCGAGGGGAACGGCAAGCTGCACATCACCCTCTGTGACTTCATCGTGCCCTGGGACACCCTGAGCACCACCCAGAAGAAGAGCCTGAACCACAGGTACCAGATGGGCTGTGAGTGCAAGGTAAGCCGGCGCCGCCCTCTTTCGGGCTCTTACCCCATCACTCCTGCCTCCAGGGAGACTGCTGGGCTTTGATCCCTGGCTTCGCAGTCCATAGGGTCCTCAGGACGGGGCTGTGGGGAGGCACAGCCTCTCCACCAGCGAGGCTCTCTGGCCGGGGACAGAGCCCCGAGGCGTGCCCCTGCAGATACATGGGGGGTCGGGGCTGTCTAGCCGCCTGGCCTATAGCTCCCAGGAGGGAGAGCCTCCCAGTGGGACTTTGTGTGGTGTAGACAGGGAAAGAACAGCCTAGTCCCCTTCTTAAAAGCAGCGCAGAGCTGTGCTGAGCACAGGTACAACAGTGCCAACATCAGGTGCGCCCGTGGCGTCCCCAGGCTCGCATCCTGCCTGCCCCGCTGCCCTGCACCTCTCTGCCACCGGACGTGAGCCTGGGCCCGGGGGCAGTGGGGATGAGCCGAGCAGTTTGGCGCTGTGCGTGCTGGCACATCCTCGCCAGCCTGTTCTGGACTCGTGCAAAATACGGATTCTGAGCCACAGCTACGCGTGTGTGGAGCAGACCCCTCCATGCCCGACGTGAAATCAAAACCGAGTTCTCTCCCTTCCCTCTCGTAGACGCTGGTCCCTCCGTCCCTGCTTGTCACCCCCCTTGAAGCCCACGCGTACTGGAGAGCAAGATAGCAGCCTTTTTTTAAAGTTTGTTTATTTTGAGAGAGACAGAGACAGCATGAGTCAGGGAGGGGCAGAGAAGAGAGGGAGAGAGTGAGACTCCCAAGCAGGCTCCACATTGTCAGTGCGGATCCTGATGTGGGGCTTGAACTCACGAAACTGTGAGATCATGACCTGAGCTGAAACCAAGAGTCAGACACTCAACTGACGGAGCCCCCCGGGAGTTCCTTTCTATTTGATTGGAACCTGTGGCCCCGGGCAATTTGAGACCCTCTATGGTCCTTAAGCTCCCAGGGGGGTGGGTCCAGTCCAAAGCCATCAAGTTACACTCAGAGGTGGTAGACCAGATGGCCCAAGGCAGAGGAGCCCCTCGGCCATGGACATTGTCTTGTACGAAGGTCCTCGCCCCCCACCTCCATCCAGGCTTCGGACAGGCTGCCTGCTGTGGTTTAACAAGTGATGGGGGAGGGGGGGAGAGGCGCTCAGGACGAGGAAGGGCTGCTGATGCAGCAGGTTCAACTCTAGCCACCCGGTTGCCCAGCCAGGTGCATTGGCTGGGGTCTGGGCGTGCCGTCCCGTGTGGCCTCGGCCCCTGACCAAGGCCGGCTCCGCGCCCCTCTTCCTAGATCACACGCTGCCCCATGATCCCGTGTTACATCTCCTCTCCGGACGAGTGTCTCTGGATGGACTGGGTCACGGAGAAGAACATCAATGGGCACCAGGCCAAGTTCTTCGCCTGCATCAAGAGAAGCGACGGCTCGTGCGCGTGGTACCGCGGCGCGGCGCCCCCCAAGCAGGAATTTCTCGATATTGAGGACCCGTAAGCAGGCCAACAGCATCCCCTCTGGCCGGCAGAAGAGCCTCTGAGAGTTTAGACTGGTCCAGCTCTGACATCCCTTCCCGGAAGCAGCATGAATAAAATAGTCATCCGAGTGGGTCTACATTAGTGTGATTCTCCCCCTACCCCCCACCCCACCCCCATTTCCCTTTTAAAAAACATGGTTGTGGCCCCACACCCCATCCGCTGGCCGGGGCAGCGTGCGTCCCCGGCTCCCACCCCCGTGTGCGGGCCGGAGTGGGACGCACGGGCCCAGCCACTGTCACAAACACTGAGCAGACAGCACTTAGGAGTCGCCCAGGCCTGGGCAGGGCAGGGCCTGGGAATGCGCATTTTGCAGAAACTTTTGAGGGTCCTTGCAAGACTGTGTAGCAGGTCTACCAGGTCCCTTTCGTCCCGAGAGGGGCATGTCCCTCGTTTCCTGCAGCCTCCACGCCTCGCCTCTGGCCGTAGGGCGGCAGCCCCCGCCCCTTGCAAGCGCCCCGGCCTCCTCGGTGCCCATCACGGGCTCCCAGTACCTGGGGTCCCCTGTGCACAGGAGTGGCCCTGGACCATGGCTCGCTCCTGCAGGGACCCCAGGTAACCCTGTTAATCAGAAGTGCGGTGAGAGCCACCCTCCAGGGACTTTACGGCATGGGCAACAAGCTTCAGCTTCAGCCCTGTCCTCACCCCCCACATACCCCGACTCCGGGGGAGTCCGCCGCATTCCGCCCCGAGGGTAGATGTCTGGGGGGACTCGAGGCTGCGCTTGCAATTTACCCCAGGCTTCCGAAGTCCCTCTGGTTTCCTCCGCGTCCTGGCATCGAGCGCACAAATGAGTGGCACCCGCCAGCTTTGCAAGGGGTCACGTGCGGCCAGCACACCGGGCTAGCTGTGCTAGGGGTGCACGGCCTGTGACCCCAGCACACCGCAGGGGGTGACGACGGGCGTACCGTGCCCTCCCCAGACAGACGTTCACTGTGCTGTGCGTGGATGTCTGAGTGGCGTTAGCCGGGCGTGCCCACGAGTCCCACCTTAGAAGGGAGACCGTGACGGAGGCGGGTTCGGCGGCTCTCCCTCTGGGCCTCCGGGGTGCTGTGGCCAACACCTGACACCCCTAAAGAGGAATTCCCAGATAGCACGTGAGCCCAAGTGACAGCTGTACCAACCTCCACTTCTCTTTGTCCTGTCTGAGTCTCCGTTAAGAAAAAAACAAAACCTCACAGGAGACCAGAAAACCTGTCCCCAACCAGTGGATTTCTGCTGCCCGTAAAATAGGGACTAATCAGGCAGAAGTTCCTCAGTAACAATACAGGTGATCTTTTTCTTCCTACTTGTGTGGTAAAGATAAGCCGCTCGAATTAGGAAAACAAGCGTGTGTGCACACGCGCGTGGACACGCACACGGTAAAGCCGAAGTCTGTCAAGCCTGTGAGTGATTCCTCTGCAGAATGCTTCCAAAGTCCCCGTGTTCTAAGCCTGCTCGATTCTGCGGTGACCCCTAAACACCTACGAGACTCCTGACCGCACCCCTCCCCCCCCCAAATGGCATGTCGCTTCCATGCCTGCTGGGACCCGGTCAGCATAGATCTTGATGACTTCCCTTTCTGGGGCAGACGAGAATATCCAGGAATCCGCCCTCGTTCTAAGGGTGCCTTCATGCTGTACATTGACAATTTGAAGATGTCATAAGGGGCCAGTCCACGTGATTGCAGTATATACGAGAACACCAGACCCCTCCAATCAATATACCACCCCACCCCCGTTTGCTTCCTGTATGGTGTTATCATATGTAACATTTACTCCTGTTTCTACTGATTTTTTAAATGTCTTGGTTTGTTTCTGACATCAGTTGTAATCATTCCCGTGCTGTGTTTTTTATTACCCTTTAGGTAGGTGTTAGACTTGCACTTTTTTTCTTTTTAAGGTTTCTGCATCGTGGAATCATTTGACCCAGAATGGAAAGCATGGGTGGGTAGCTAGCCTGTGATGGTGGATTCCGTCAGATCTTTTGTTTCCTTCTTTGAGTATGGTTGCTTTTTCCCATTTGCTACCTTTTTGTTCTCTGGTTCAAATCGTTACAAAGTAAAAGGTCTTTGAGACGGTTGGTTCTAAAACCCGGCCTTTCTATTTCATCCACGCACATTGGTCTTCTAGCCACACTGAGCCGCGGGAAAACAAAAACAGAAACAAACAAACAAACAAAAAATCAAGATCAAGCGCCCAGTGGCAGCCACTCAAATACCGTCAGAGTAAATAATCACAATGTGTCTGTAGTTCAAGAAGGCTCTCCATTCGGCATTGTCTAATTTATACGTTACGTTCTACGCACTGCTCGTTCCTACCCCCCCTTCTTGTCTTCATTCAAGCAACTCAAAATATTTAAAGTGAAGTTTACATTGTAGTTATTTTCAAATCTTTGCTTGATAAGTATTAAGGAATATCGGACTTGCTGCCATAATTTAAAGCTTTGTTTGATTGTGTTTGTTTTTGCTTGGTTTTGTTTTGTTGTTATTTTTATTTTTTATTTTTGGGCAATGTGTTTTTGCTGGAATATGAAGTCTGAGACCTTCCTGTGCTGGGAACACGTAAGAGCTATTGAACGTTGACAAGCAGACTGCGCATGTCTCCGATGCTTTGTATCATTCTTGAGTGATCGCTCGGTCAATGGACAATAAACACTATTATCAAGAACACTGGCTCTGTCCGCGTGGCTGTATCCATCGTTCAGAGCGGCTGCCTTCTGGCTTAAGAACCAGCCCCAGCACGTCCAAAGGAGTCGCTCCCATGGAAGGGGGGAGGGTGCTCCATCTACAAGAGAAACGGGGGGCTGGGTGCTTAGAGGAGAATGTGGGATAATTCCGCAGGGACAGGGCAGACGGTGGTGAAGATGATTTTAAGTTGGCCGAGGCAGGCAGAGGGCGTGCCCCAGGCCCCTTTGTTCATGCAGCAGGCGCACCTCGCGTTCTAGCCTGCACCCAACAGAGGAGCAGAGCCCTGTGGCCATCTCACATCCTCGGCAGTGAGCAATGCCTGGCCCTGGTCTTCCTTCACTGCCCATATCCACACCCTGCACACCATGCCCGAGGTCATTAGAAAGGCAGATTCCAGGCATGAAACGGCATCATCTATAAATGTTTCAGTCTGTCCGTATCTTTTTTTTTAAATTTTTTTAATGTTTTATTTATTTCTAGGAGAGAGAGAGAGAGACAGCGTGAGCAGGGGAGGGTCAGAGAGAGGGAGTCACAGACTGAAACAGGCTCCAGGCTCTGAGCTGGCAGTCAGCACAGAGCCCGACGCGGGGCTCGAACCCACGAACCGCGAGATCATGACCTAAGTGAAAGTCGGACGCTTAACCGACTAAGCCACCCAGGCGCCCCTAAAAGTAAGAACTGTTTAAAAAAAAAACATTTCTGGGGCGCCTGGGTGGCTCAGTCCATTAAGTGTCCGACTTTGACTCAGGTCATGATCTCACGGTTCGTGGGTTCAAGCCCCGCATCAGGCTCTGTGCTGACAGCTCAGAGCCTGAAGTCTGATTCGGGTTCTGTGTTTCCCTGATTCTCTGCTCCTCTCCCGCTCACACTCTGTCTCTCAAAAATAAATAAACATTAAAAAAATTAAAAAACAATTTTTTAATAAAATCTTAAATTAAAAAAAATTTTAAGAAAAAACACAGTTCCCGAATACTTTAATCAAACCCTAAAAATGTAATCGGGCTGTGCTGGTATCAGTGTTCAGACATCTCTGATGGTCTCTTAAATGCTTTTTTACGGTCCATTGGTTTGAATCAGGATCCTTCTAGGGACCATACACCGCAGCTCCTCTCAAGGCTCTTCTTCCTGCAAGTTCCCCTCCCTCCTCCCTCCCAGCCCCCTCTCCGAGCTGGGAAAGATGGCCTCGTCATAACTTAAACTTGAACCAGATCTCATGTGAATGGTCTGTCTGAACACGTACCCACCCCGGGGCGCATCTGCAGAAAGGGTTTTTCCCGGGACAAACCAGAAGACGTGCATTTCCTGTTTTATGCCGCGGCTGCGTGGTCAGCGAGAGCGCAGCTCTGGATGCCACCCTGAAGCAGCAAAGAGGTCATAGGGCCGAGTTTTCGCACTGACGTCAGTGTCACTGACCCCTAAATGTACCCATTTCGTGTCACCTGTGGCAGAACCGTTTGGATTATTCCTCCCCTCAGGTGAAACGAGGGAAATGGTTCAGGAACCGTAACACCCAAACCATCCCGGTCATGGGAATGGGCTCCCTCGGCACGTGTGGCCCTGGAGGCCCCGGGGGTCTTAGCAAACACCGCCGCACAGTTGCTGCCTGTTTCCTTTGTTTTATGTAATGTGGGTCAGGTGGGACTTTGAAAAACACTTCTCGGGGCGCCTGGGTGGCTTAGTCGGTTGAGCGTCCGACTTTCGCTTAGGTCATGATCTCGCGGTTCGTGGGTTCGAGCCCCGCGTCGGGCTCTGTGCTGACTGCCAGCTCAGAGCCTGGAGCCTGTTTCAGTCTGTGACTCCCTCCCTCTCTGACCCTCCCCTGCTCACGCTGTCTCTTTCTCTCTCCTAGAAATAAATAAAAAATATTTAAAAAAAAAAAAAGAAAGAAAAACACTTCTCATTGTGGAAATTTTCAAACCTATAAAAAAGGGCCGAGGCGACAGAACAAACTCCATGCACCCGTGATCTGAATTTCAACAGTTGTCCAAGTTTTCCTGATCTTTGCAAACTATTTTATTTTCCTTTATTTCAATTTATTCTATTTTATTTCATAAAATTTTTTAAGTGTTTATTTATTCTTCAGAGAGAGTGTGAGCAGGGGAGGGGCAGAGAGAGAGGGAGACGCAGAATCCGAAGCAGCTCCAGGCTCTGAGCTGTCAGCACAGAGCCCGACGCGGGGCTCGAACTCACGAACTGTGAGATCGTGACCTGAGCCTGAGTTGGACGCTTAACCACTGAGCCACCCAGGCGCCCCTTTGCAAACAATTATAAGTGCGTTTGGAGACCCCTCTACGGGGTAACCAGACTGTTAGGGCTTCTATCAGACTCCATAATTTCTCCCCTCAGTCTTGGTCATTCTGTGAAAGGAGCGTGAACGGGGACTCGGTCCAAACCCCCAGGGGACACCAGCGGGCTCAAAATGGAAACATGGCAACAGACATTGCAGCATCCAGCCACCAGAATTGGTTAAAATAGGTACAAGCTTGGGTAGCCCTGTCCTTTCCGTCCTAATTATTTTAAAAAAATTTTAAATGTTTATTTGTTTCTTCTTAATATTTTCTTTATTTTTTTTTAAATTTTTTAATGTTTTTTATTTATTTCTAGGAGAGAGAGAGAGACAGCGTGAGCAGGGGAGGGTCAGAGAGAGAGGGAGTCACAGACTGAAACAGGCTCCAGGCTCTGAGCTGTCAGCACAGAGCCTGACGCGGGGCCCGAACCCACGAACCACGAGATCATGACCTAAGCGAAAGTCGGACGCTCAGCCGACTAAGCCACCCAGGCGCCCCAAATTTTTGTTTATTTTTGAAAGAGAGAGAGAGAGAGTTTGAGCAGGGGGCGGGACAGAGAGAGGAAGACAGAGGATCTGAAGCAGCCTCAGTGCTGACAGCAGCGAGCCCGCTGCGGGGCCTGAACTCCCCAACAGTGAGCTCATGACCTGAATGGAAGTCAGACCACCAACCGACTGAGCCAGCCGGGCACCCCTATGTTTATTTACTTTTGAAAGAGAGAGCACAAGTGGGGAAGGGACGGAGAGAGAGAGAGAGGGAGACACAGAATCTGAAGCAGCTCCAGGCTCCGAGCTGTCAGCACAGAGCCCGACCCAAGGCTTGAACTCACACACCATGAGCTCATGACCTGAGCCAAAGTTGGACACTTAACAGCCTGAGCCCCCCAGGCTCCCCGTCTCCTAGTATTAATGGGTATGTTAAACAGATCTGACTTAACAGAAAAAGCACAATGGAGCTATAGATGTTTCACTGTGGTCAGTTTTAGGACGGACCGTTTGCTGTTCCCACAGATTTTACATGAAGACTGAAATTCCTCTCTGAACAGGCTCTATCTTTAGCCCTGGGTTGGAGCTTCGCGCTGACCCCCGGCCCCCCCGTCACACACGGCTGCCATGAATCCTTTGCGGTGACAGGCAGTGCTTTGATTTGGGGTAACCGTTAGCTCCAAGAGCAGATGTAGGTCACAAGTGGATTAGGAAAGAAAAGAAGACCTTCGGGAACGCAATTCTGTCCGTTTTCATTGCATAGCAGCCAGGAGGAACGCTCCTTTCTAATTAAACGAAGCAGAAAGTTGAGGCAAATCCAAATCGAGGTCTGCAAAATGGGCGGGGCGTCAGGTGGGGGTCACTAGCAGAGAAAAGTCAAGGTAAAGAGGGTCTGGGGACGGGACCCACGAGGCGATGCTGCCTACATTACCTGGGAATAAAGCAGAGGGTTGGATGTTTATTTAGAGGCCAGCCAACGCGTTTTTGCTTTACCCCTTCAAGTGATGTTAGCGGGGAGGTGGGCAGCGGGGCCACTTGCAAGATTCCAGCCAGGGAGTCTCGATGGAGACCTGGCCCCGGATTTTTTATTAGTCGCCGGTCACGCAGACGCCCTCTGCCCAGCGTGTAGCAAAATTCCAGCCTCCCAGAAGGAAAGCAGGTGTTCAGCATAAACAAATATTTGAGGTACTGGATCCATTCTATTTTTTTTAATGTACATTTGAGAAAGAGAGTGTGTGTGCGTGGAGCGCCTGGGTGGCTCAGTCCGTTAAGCATCCGACTTCAGCTCAGGTCATGATCTCAGGTTTCACGGCTTTGAGCCCCGCGTCGAAGGAGCCTGCCTGGGATTCTCTCCCTATCTCTCTCTGCCCCTTCCTCCCTGAAAAAAATAAACATTAAAAAAATTTTTAAAGAATATTTTAGGGGAACCAGGGTGGCTTAGTCGGTTAAGCATCTGACCCTGGATCTAAGCTCAGGTCTTGATCTCACGGTCTTGAGTTCAAGCCCCACATGGGGCTCTGCATTGGGCACGAAGCTACTTAAAAAGAAAAAAAGAATATTATTTTATTTTCAGGGTTTCTCTCCTCTTCTCCCTCAGGATTTAGAGATTCTTCAATGGTCTCATCTTCACTATTTCATTCTCTGTTGGGTTGAGTTTCACAAACATTTGCATGTATGGTATTATTTGCAATGCACCAGACCCAGGGACACTCAGATAGTGAGACACAGTGAGGGAGGTTTGGAGGGAGAATCCAGAGAACATTCCAATTCAGACAAATGGAACGTGCAGCAGGCCCAAGGCAACACAAACCTAATGGCAGGGATGGAAGGAATCCAGGAAGACTTCCTGGAGGAGGTGGTGCCTGAGGCAGTTGGAGAAGGGCGAGTGGGAAAGGGAATTTAGCCCAAAGACCAGTTTGAGCCTGGGACAGAGACAGCCTTGTTAGTGTCTGGGTGGGGAGAGGGTTTGGATTCAGCTCTGCTGAGCATTCGAGGGCTGGGGGGAGAAGGAGGAAAAGGCAGGCAAGCAGCCAGCCCCCAGGGACCATTAGAGACCATGCTAAGGAGCTTGGCTTTCCCATCAGCTTCGGGTGACAGGGAAGGGTTCAGACAGGTGCACAATGTTTTCGGGTAGGCCTATAAATGTATCATTCTATTTGGCAGTTTGAGTGATGGATTTGGCCATTCCAGTAATGCAGATGCAGATGGAGACGAGCTTTATTTGGGCAATTGGATGGAGGGAAGGGAGTGGTTTGAGGGATATTTGAGAAGTCAAAGTAGCAAAATTTGTTGATTGATGATTCACATGGGGTGAAGGAGAGAGAGGAGACCAGGATGTTGGCCAGGAAGGTGGATGTTGGGGTTACTGTCTGTATCAGCCTGGGTTCAGTCAGGAACACTGAAACCACTCTGTACAGTCTGTATTTTTTTTAAAACTTAAAAAAATTTTTTTTACACTTATTTATTTTTTGAGAGACAGAGAGAGACAGAGCACAAGTAGGTGAGGGGCAGAGACAGAGGGAGACGCAGAATCCGAAGCAGGCTCTAAGCTGTCAGCGGAGAGCCCGATGCGGGGCTCGAACCCACGAACTGTGAGATCGTGACCTGAGCCGAAGTCGGACGCTGAACCGACTGAGCCACCCAGGCGCCCCATATACAGCCTTTAAAACAGAGGGGATTTGGGGCGCCTGGGTGGCTCAGTCGGCTAAGTGTCTAATTCTTGATTTCAGCGTAGGTCATGATCTCATTATTCGTGAGTTCGAGCCCCACATTGGGCTCTGCGCTGACACTGCAGAGCCTGCTTGGGATTCTTTCTCTCTCCCTCTCTGTCTCTCAAAATAAACAAACTTAAAAAATAAATAAACAAACGGGACTAAAGCAGGGATTGCTTACGTGCTGATGGAAGCCAGCCAGAGAACAACAGGCAGCTGTTAGCGCCCCAGGGGCAGAGGGACAGAGGCGGGAGGCTGCCCTACATGAGCGCAGGGAGGGGCAGGCCGGGGAGGGGAAAGCTGGGACCGCCACGCGCCTCTCTGGATGGAGCCAGAGACTCGTCCAAGGGTGGAAGCGAGGCCGGCTTCTCCTTTCCTTTGGCCTCCAGTCTCGCCAGTGCCCCCTAGTGGCCAGACCCTCCTGGATGCCCCGAGCTTGGAAAAGCCGAAAAGGACTAGGATTTGGTCTGAGCTCTAGCCCAGCCGCCCAAGTGGGCAACGGGGCAGAAAAAGAGGCGGTTTAGGGAAGGGGGGATGTGCCCATTTCTGGGTGTGGCGAGTTCAAAGTGCTTGTGGATCCTGCAGGGAGGTGACCCTTACTGGACCCACCATTCCCAAGATCGGGGTGGGGGGCAGAGGGCTGCAGGCAGGTGCCTGCGTAAGGGACTGGACCACAGGCATAGTGACAGGGGTGGTGGCCACAGCAACGGATGTGCTGCTGGGGCAGGTGTTTGTTACTTAACAGAAACATTTAACTTTTCTAAGATGGTTGCATCGTTTTATGCTCCCAGGGGTTTTACCGAGCCTGCTTCCTCACCTTCTCTCCAACGTGTGGTCTTTTCCATTTTAGCTGTTCTAGTGGGTGTGAAACATCCTTCCGTGTGGTTTTAATTTGCATTCCTCTGGTGACCTTTGAGATTAAGTACTTTAGGAAAGGCCTACTGAGTACACCTCAAGGAGAATCCACGCGGAGGCTTTTTTGACAGAATCAGGAGGGGGGGTTAGGGTGGGAGTGGGAGTGGCCAAACGCTCTTCCAACTACTAGGTGTCAGATTATATTGCGAAACAGGACAGAAGCCTCTGGGGCTAACTTGTCAGCTCAGAATTTTGAGGTTCCTCTGAGGGCCTGAGCTAACTGGGTGAACACACCTGGGTTTTAACCTTCGCATCACGGAACCTTCGAATCACGGCTTCTTTGCAGGTGTTTGTATCCGTAAAATGGGAACAGTATCTTTTTGTAGGGTTGCCATGAGGCTTAAAGCATAGAATGTTGGCAAGGTGGACACGTAGTATCAACTCAGGGGGGAAGCAAACGTGTCCAGTTTGGTTAAGAGTTACCGATCTGCGACCTGCCGGAGAGATCGCCTTTATTCCCCAGATGAGGAAATCCAGGTTAGTTAACTGTCCAAAGCCACCTGCTAACCAGGGCATGGGGATAAAAGCCGAGCCTCCTCTTTACCCCCGCCAGTTGCCAGCCCTTCGGACCTGCCCCCCCAACTTCTAATCACACATTGTATCAGGCGTCGGCATAGTGACAACTGTCTTGGTTTGAATCACTGACTTAGTGCACAGAAAGCACCAGAACAAAATCTCCATCTGAGGCTCCTGAGGGTTCTCACTGGCTCAGGCCCCTACGGGTTTGTTTCTGCTGCTTTGCTTTTTCAGGACACCAGCATCCACGAGACAACTACGGGGTGAATTGTGTCCCGGTGACACCTGTCGTGGGTCCATGCCCACTCCCGGCCCCAAGGTCGGGGTGCAGGGCGCGCGTGGAGACTAGGTCTAGGCGGCTCCCCCAGGAGCTCCCCCAACCCACTGCAGACCTCCCTGCCAAGAAAGAGCAGGCAGACAAGGCTATGGGCGCAAGGTTGCGATCTGGGGGTCGTTTATTCCCACGCTCCCCCCGTGCCCATTCACGCGACGGAGTAACTGGGGTGAAAAGGATTTTTTAAATGATCGCAGAGGCAATGAGTATTTGCAAGGATTCAACCAAGAGCTTAACGTAGTCGTCACAGGACGATGCTTTTGGAGGTCGGCAGTGGGGCCGGGGAATTGCACGGGGTCCCCCGTCCCCGCCCCGGACATTTCCAAGGTCAAACGCCACCATCCCCACAGTCATCCGAACAGCTCTTTGCTCGGCCCTCCCTGGCTCTTCTGGGCCAGCTGCCCCCATCGCGCCCAGTCCGTGTCTCGGTCACGGACAGTGAGGCCGAGCCGCCGCGCCACCAGCTCCACGCGCGGTGGGCACCGGGCTCGGGTCCGAGGCCGCGGCAGGTGCTTTGCGCGCTAAGGACCCGGAAGCGGACGCCTCACGTGCTCTCCAGGAACTCGCCAGGCTCGGGCCCAGGGGGCGGGGCAGCCCCGACTCTGCGTGCGTGCGTCATCGCGTAGGGGGCGTGGCCTCGGAGTGAGGGCGGTGACGTAACGGATGCGTAGAGCGACTGTGGGCGGGCGCAGGGAACGGGGCTGCTGCTCTTAAAGCAGCCACGACGATTCGAGGCCGGCAGCGCTGGCCGCGAGTTGCGGCGCCTTTAAGCGTCGCGGTGACACGTGTGTGAGGCGGCCGAGGCCCGGATGGTGCGTGTGCGGGGCCCGGGCCGAGCAGACGCCAGCGCCGCGGGCCTGCAGCCGGGCCCGCCGAGGGCCGGGTAGGCTGGGGCCGGGGCGCGGCGGCGCGCGGGCCTGGAGCAGGCTGCGCGTCCGGCCGGGTGGAGGGCTTCCGCGGGGCCTGGGACGCGGGAAGGTGCGGCCTGAGGGGGGGCGCGCCGGGGAGACGTGGGTACGCGTCCTCGAGGGGCTCAGGGGCCCGTAGGGAGCGCCCGGGGCTACTCGGTTGGCCGGGAGTTCGAGGCTGCGCTGTCCGTGAGGGGCTCGGGGGTTCACGGGAAGGGCCAGGAGCGCGCGTTCCGCGAAGGGGTTCGGGGGTCCACGGGGAGGTCAGGGGCGCGCGGTCCCCGAAAGTTCGGCGGTTCACGGGGAAGGTCAGGGGCGCGCGGTCCGCGCGGGGCTCCGGGGTCCCCGCGGAGGACCAGGGGCGCGTCGTCCGCGCGGGGCTCCGGGGCCCCACAGGAAGGGTCCGGGAGGCTTCCTCCCTGCTCTTCCCGGGGAACCCCGGCCGGTGGCGGAGAGGAGAGCTGCCCCAGCCAAAGCTGGGGGGAGGGAGGGATTCGGAGGAGGCAGCTGCCCGTGTCGGTCCAGGACACGGTCGTTATCCGCGGAAGCATCATTTATGCAGGACCCAGACTCTCTCTGAAATGGCTCAAATCACAGTCTCGAGGAGCCTGTTCTGTTTGGCAGCAGTGCCAAAATCTCATTATTTTTCCCTTTTAGTAAAAAACGTGGGAAAGATTTATTCATGGAGACGGTAACCTTCCTCAGGGTCACGGTCAAGGTGGAGGCGAGTGGGTGAGCACACGGTGGGGATGGGGTTAAAATACCCATTTTAGTGGGTCGTGTGAGCCTCCCCTGGGGTTCCGGGAGCTGAGACAGAGGAGAGCGCGTGGCGCTCACACAGCCTGCTTTCTGTAAGAGATTGCTGAGAACCAGGCTCCCAAGGAGAGCGAGGCTCTGCTCGCTCCTTCCTGGCTGGAGACTGGTGTCCTGCAGTCTCTGCAGAAGGGCCTGGGGGCCCCTGTGGAAGTGCCCCAAGGAGGCCCCGGCTCTGTCCTCCGGGGCTCCTCCCCCACCAGCACGTGGGTGACCCTGTGCGTCTTGAGTGCATTTGTCCAGAAACAGCGAATTTGCAGGGAGGAGAGAGAGAGAATAGAGGGAGCTGTTTGCCTGCTCTCTCTCGGAGGTGGAACTAGGCACAGAGGAGCCCCTGCTGTCCCTGGACCACAGGCCACACGGGATGGAGGGAGCATCCTGCCCCATTTCTGAAGAGCGAGTTGTCAGAGGCGCGCATCCAAGGGCTTGCTGTTGGTCACAAGGACATTGCTCTTGGGGTTCCAACACCTCCAAGAGAGAACTTTCTGGTCATTGATGTTTTGGATGGAATTGGTGACCTAGCGGCCGATCTTTGTCAGAACCTGGAACAGTTACGGTTGTTCAGAAATCTCTGACTTCCACAGTGAGGCGTGGGCTGGGGGACAGGAGTTCTTGAAATGACTTCTCTTGAAATAAATGGGGTTCTGTCTCCCAAGTTCTGTTTGGCCACTCGCTATTTAGTTCCCCAGCATTTGCCCTCGGGCCCATGTATGTCTGTCCTCAGCTGTGCACAGTGAGTGAGGTCATGAGTCTTGATTAAAACAGGGATATTATAGGGCAGTTTTTGTAGGACTGGGGTCTTCAGTTTCCACGTTGGCTTTTATTCTGAGATCATTTTGATGATGCTCCCTCTTTATTTTGGTGCGGGTACACTTTTGTTTATGGATAGGAAACACGGTGTGTCTGAAATTTGCTGTCAGTAAGGTGGGGACAGGAGAGGGATTTGGGTTGGGCCCACATAGTAATTATTGATGATAAATACGGGGAGCACAGTGGTCCCTGTGTGGTTCTCTCCACATTGTATATATTTAGAAGGGGAAGAAAATTTGTTTATGTTTGAAAGACAGAGAGAGCAGGGAAGGAGCAGAGAGAGAGGAGGGCACTGGATCCAAAGTGACCTCTGTGCTGACAGCAGAGAACCTGACGCGGGGCTCAAACTCAGGAACTGTGAGATCACGACCTGAGCCAAAGCTGGACGGTTAACCAACTGAGTCCCCCAGGCGCCCCCGTGTTGTATATATTCGAATGTTTTCACTGCAAAAAAAGTTTAAAAAAAATTTTTTTTGTAATGTTTTTTCATTTAGTTCTAGGAGAGAGAGAGAGAGACAGCGTGAGCAGGGGAGGGTCAGAGAGAGAGGGAGTCACAGACTCTGAAACAGGCTCCAGGCTCTGGGCTGGCAGCCAGCACAGAGCCCGACGCGGGGCTCCAACCCACGAACCGCGAGATCATGACCTAAGCGAAAGTCGGACGCTTAACCGACTAAGCCACCCAGGCGCCCCAATTTTGTTTTCTTTATTCTACTGGCTTATGAAATATGGAATGTGGGGGTGATTATTACCTCTCGCCTTCTGGAAAGCGTTTTAGACCGGAGTCCCCGGGGGAGTTTTGTCCACTGAACTTGTCCTGGCTTGAAGCTCAGGACACAGGGCAGAGGGCAGCGTTTCCCCAGTTTTGCACATTGTAGTCATTTGTAGCTGGTCTGTTCAGTTCTTCTCTGAAATCTGAAATCCAGCAGCCTTAACACTGAGTCTTCCAGGCAGATAGTCGGCCTTCCTGCTCCGCGTCCAGGCAGCGGGGCCGAGGAGAGGGCTGAAGGGAGCCGCCTCACGTGGTGCTCTGCTCCCCCCTCAGATTCTGAACGACTGACCTGCGGCTTTGCTGATTTAAGAGGCCAGAGCCGAGGAGCGTGGCATCTGAGGGTTGTGCACCCCGCACCTGCCCCGTCTGGCCCGGAACCTGACCCCATGCTGCAGCCGCCGTGCACCCAAGTTCACACGTCCCAGGTAAGCCGGCAGAGGTGCCCCAGTGCTTTCTCGTTTCAGATATCTGCCTCCCCAGTGGCTGGGAACACTTAGAGAATTCCTCTCAGGAAAGGTCATTTTGTTGCCTCAAATCAAAGCATTTGTGCTTGTTCCTTTAAAAATAAGTTCTAAAGTTCCTGGGTGGCTCTGCTCGTGATTTCAGCCCAAGGTCATAATCTCACAGTCGTGGCTTCGAGACCCGTGTCAGGCTCCACACTGAGTATGGAATCTGCTTGGGGTTCTCTCTCTTTCCTTCTCTCTGGCCCTCCCCTGCTCATGTGCGGGTAGGCTTGCACACACCCGCTCTCAAAAACAAAAGTTTCTTAATTAAGCATTTTTTAAATGTTTTTTAATTTATTTTTGAGAGTCACAGAGAGAGAGCATGAGCAGGGGAGGGCCAGAGAGAGAGGGAGATACAGAATTCGAAGACAGGCTCCAGTCTCTGAGCTGAGCTGTCAGCACAGAGCCCGATGCGGGGCTCGAACCCACGAACTGTGAGATCATGACCTGAGCCGAAGTCAGATGCTCAACCGACTGAGCCACCCAGGCGCCCCAAAAATTTCTTAATTTAGAAAAAATTTTTTTTACATTTATTCGTTTTTGAGAGACAGAGAGACAGAGCACTAGTGGGGGAGGGGCAGAGAGGGAAGGAGACACAGAATCCAAAGCAGGCTCCAGGCTCCGAGCTGTCAGCACAGAGCTTGATGTGGGGCTCAAACTCACAAACCGTGAGATCATGACCTGAGCCGAAGTCAGATGCTTAGCCGACTGAGCCACCCAGGAGCCCGTTATGTTTCTGTTTTTTTGCAGAAATTTTGTTTCTTGAAAGACTTAATTTATTTTATCTTTTTAAAAGTATATTTATTTATTTTGAGAGAGACACAGACAGTATGAGAGGAGGAGGGGCAGAGAGAGAGAGGGCGAGGGGGTCCCAAGCAGGCTCTGAGTTGCCAGCACAGAATCCGACGCAGGGCTCCAACGCACAAACTGTGAGATCCTGACCTGAGCCGAAGTCAGATGCTTCACCGACTGAGCCCCCCAGGCGCCCCACATTTTACAGTCTTACACCAAGTCTTTGAAATCCATTGTGTGTTTTGTACTGACAGCACGTCTCAGTTGGGCCTCGGCTCACGTCACACGTTCAGTGGGCCCGTGTGGCCCGTGGCATTCATTTTGAAGCGTATAAGCCTGAACGGAAAGACGTGCTGCTAATTCTTTTGTTGAGTGGCTCTGTGTGCACCACCAGGGTGTCCGATGGGAGTTCGTGTTCCCCTGTGTTTGAGCAGACATTAGGACCACGAGGTCACCTTCCGGAGGAAGCGGCCCCAGGCCACAGGTGCACGGGCCCTTTTGAAGAGGCCTCACTGCGCGTCCAGCGCCACTCGTGAAACCTCCTTGTGTTTTTGGGAGGAGGAGCATGGACCCGACCCCGCGTGGTCGGTGACACGTCTCTGCATTTTGCACTTCCTTCGCAGGGCGGCCTCCCCAGAGACGCATGCACGGTGGCCGAGCGGCCATAGAGACCGAAGCAGGGATTTCAGGGAAGTGATGCTGTGTTCCCGGGACCCGGTTCCCCATTGCTCTGTGTCCCTTCTTGTCCCCACAGTGATGCACCATGCCGATAGTTGATAAATTGAAGGAAGCCCTGAAGCCCGGCCGCAAGGACTCGGCCGACGATGGCGAGCTGGGCAGGCTCCTGGCCTCCTCTGCCAAGAAGGTCCTTCTGCAGAAGATTGAGTTCGAGCCCGCCAGCAAGAGTTTCTCCTACCAGCTGGAGTCCCTGAAGAGCAAATACGTCCTGCTGAACCCTAAGGCGGAGGGAGCCAGTCGCCGCAGGGGTGGAGAGGAGCCTCAGGCCAGGAACCAGGGTACAGGTGCACGGCCAGCGGGGGTCGCGGCGTGTGCTGACTGGGTGGAGGGATGAGCCGGTGACACGGCAGGTGGAACAAAGGCATAACGTGGCCAGAGAGTTGGGAGGTTTCAGCGGGGTCCGTGGCTTTTCGCTGTAGAAATCATGAGGCAGGGTGGGTTGGGAAGAGACCTGTGGCCTTAGCGAGGCCTTGGATCCCGTGTGTGTGTGTGTGTGTGTGTGTGTGTGAGAGAGAGAGAGAGAGAGAGAGAGAGATCAAAAGCGGGGCTTGGAAACACGTGCCACTACTGGGCTGGGCTTCAGGGCACGGGGCCCCCGAGCTGCTCGTCCCCCGAGTCCCGTCCTCCCGTCCGTGGAGGCTCCTCGAAATCCAGACCTAAGCGGTCCACGAGAGCCGCCCAGGGTTTTCTCCTGGGCTTTCTAGTAGCTTCTGGTCACTGGGGACACCGGCTAACCCCGACGCGGCGCCCTGGCCAAGCGCACGCCTGCTGCGGCTCACTGGGGATTGCCCTTTGCCGTCCACCGGTGCGGAGACTGCAGCCCCGCTCTCTTCCCTCGCCCCTTCTCTCACAGGCAGCGAGCATGCGTATGAGAGCAGTGGGGACGGCGTCCCCGCCCCCCAGAAAGTGCTCTTCCCCACCGAGCGGCTGTCCCTGAAGTGGGAGCGGGTTTACCGCGTGGGGGCGGGGCTGCACAACCTCGGCAACACCTGCTTTCTGAACTCGACCGTCCAGTGCTTGACCTACACGCCGCCACTGGCCAACTACCTGCTTTCCAAGGAGCACAGTCGCACCTGTGAGTGGGGGGGGGGGGGCGGGCGGCCTGGGGTCACCCCCGATGAGAAACCGTGTGCTCTCGGCGCTGCCGGCCATCAGCCCGGGCCCGGTTGCAGAGGGACGTCCATGACCTTGGAACTGACAAAACCTAAGTTTGACGTGTGCCCGCAGCACATGGGCCGTGGAAGCCTGGCTCCGGTAGAGCGTTGGTCCCAGTTGGTTCTGAAAATGGGTCTGTAAACGGAGAAATGGGTTGTCAAAAAACACATCCAAAATATGTATATTCAACAACTTTATACATCCATTATTGTATCAGCCAGCGTTTTATGTGCATTATAACATGTGCTCCAAAGTAGCGATTTATTTTTTTATGTTTATTTTTTGAGAGAGAGACACAGAGTATGAGCAGGGGAAGGTCAGAGAGAGAGAGAGAGAGAGAGACAGACTCTGAAGCAGCTCCAGGCTCTGAGCTGTCAGCACAGAGCCCGACGCAGGGCTCGAACTCAAGAACTGTGAGATCATGACCTGAGCTGAAGTCGGACGCTTAACTGACTGAGCCACCCAGGCGCCCCCCAAACTAGCAGTTTAAAATGGTAAAGTGAAGATGAAATAGAATGTAACTTACCAAAACTGAAGCAAGTAGAAAGTTTTAAAAACCTTTTAACTAATAAAGAGATTAAATTGGTGGATTACATTTTCCCATGATGAAGATACCAGGCCGAGATGGTTTAGGGGTGAGCTTTATGAAAATGTTGAGAAACAGATTGTTGAAATGCTTCACAAACTCTTCCAGAAAATAGACAAAGAGAGAAAACTCCCCAGCTCGTTCTACGAGGTTCTAATAACTTGGGTAATGAAATTAAACAAGTACAACATGAGAGAGAAAAATTATAGTCCCATCTCCTTTTTTTTTTCAATGTTTTTCATTTCTGAGAAAGAGAGAGACAGCATGAGCAGGGGAGGGTCAGAGAGAGAGGGAGACACAGAATCTGCAACAGGCTCCAGGCTCTGAGCTGTCAGCACAGAGCCCGACGAGGGGCTCGAACCCACAAACTGTGAGATCATGACCTGCGCCGAAGTCAGACACTCAACCGACCGACTGAGCCCCCCAGGCACCCCTTTAGTACCATCTTCTTCACGAACGCAGTTAAGAAACTTCTAGACAGGGGCACCTGGGTGGCTTAGTCGGTTAAGCGTCCGACTTTCACTTAGGTCATGATCTCACAGTTCGTGGGTTCGAGCCCCGCGTCGGGCTCTGTGCTGACTGCCAGCTCGGAGCCTGGGGCCTGTTTTGGAGTCTGTGTCTCCCTCTCTCTCTGACCCTCCCCTGCTCACGCTGTCTCTCTCTCTCTCTCCTAGAAATAAATAAAAATATTAAAAAAAAAAAAAAAGAAACTTCTAGACAGAATACTACCAAACTCCATAGTCTTTTAAATGCTGTGAGCAATTTGTGTTCATCCGGGTCAGGCAAGGGTGTTCTAGAATTTGAAAACCTCTAAGTGTGATTGTGGGGAGAGGCTGCACACCAGTTAAATGCCGTGGTCCTGACAGCGCTGTTGGGAAGCTTGACGGAATTATGGGAAGTGCTCAGAATGGTACTTGGTCCCCAGTTCTAGTGCTATGTCAGGGACTGCCAAGCTTGCTTCCTTAATTATCGCATCAGCAGATTAATAGAGGAAGGTCACCTGAAACTAGAGGCCCCCCCAAAAAAAACCATATAAGCTTTTAGCAAAGTAGCTGTAAGAAGGAGTTTCCTGGTCTTGATAAAAGCCTATCAACCAAGCGCTATTAAAAAAAAAAGAATTCTAAGTAGGAAAATATAGGAAGCATACTCTAAAATACAGCATGGTCCCTGTCACCACTTGTGTTGGAAATGTGTCCATCCTCGCTAGAACGGTGACTTAGAAAAAAAGAGAGAGTGCACCGTTGTTGCTAGAAATTAACATTTCTTTAAAAAAAAAAAAAAGAACAACATTCCTGCATTGAAAAGCAACAGAATCTATAAATTAGAAATTTGGCAGTGTAACTAAATATAACATCAGCAAGCAAAAAGTTGGTTGAATTTCTCTGCACCAAAGGAGGAGTTTTATTTATTTATTTATTTTGCAAATAGTTTGTTATCAAATTGGTTTCCATATAACACCCAGGGTTCATCCCCACAAATGCCCTCCTTGCCCATCTCCCCCCTCCCCCCAAAGGAGGAGTTTTAAAAAGAAGTTTGCTACTGGGGCGCCTGGGTGGCTTAGTCGGTTAAGCGTCCGACTTTCGCTTAGGTCATGATCTCGCGGTTCGTGGGTTCGAGCCCCGCGTCGGGCTCTGTGCTGACTGCCAGCTCAGAGCCTGGAGCCTGTTTCAGAGTCTGTGACTCCCTCTCTCTCTGACTCTCCCCTGCTCACGCTGTCTCTCTCTGTCTCTCTCCTAGAAATAAATAAAAAAATAAAAAAAAATAAGAAAAAAAAAAAAAGTTTGCTACTATAAAAAAGCTTGTAAGTTTAATAGCAACAAAGTGTCTAGACCTAAACTTACCAGGCAGTCCCTCACCGAATGGACGGACATGACCCAGGAAGGCACGTGCGTGAAGGTAGCCGCCTTCAGAGGGAAGTCTCGCTATAAAGACATCGGGTCTCCCCCAATTAGTGCAGCTAGAGGTTCGTGCAGCTCCAACAGATTCTAAAATATATACGAAAAAGAAAAGCGAGGGGCTCGAAACCACCAAGACGCTTCGGAAGGAGGCTGTAGGGAGACAGATGCTGCCCCAACCAGGAAGTCTTGTCAAGGTGGAGAAATTAACATGTCGGGTTGGAGAGGGACAGACTGCCTAGTGCAGTGGAGGAGAGCCCAGAAACAGCCCTGGGAAGTGTGTTACCTGCTGGTTTTTCACGTGTCTCCCATTTTAAATAAATGGAACTTTGAAAGAACTCTGGCTGACATCTGGGAAAAGTGAACTGCCCCTCCACCCCCATTTCACAGCCTAGCCACGCATAAAAGACGCGTTCAGAATTTAGTATCAGAAGCAAACGTCACGCTCTTACAGCAAATGTTTGCAAATGTCTTTCTGACCTTAGGATGGGAGACTTTCTTTAAATTTTTTTTATTTCTAAGAGAGGCAGCATGAGCAGGGGAGGGTCAGAGAGAGAGGGAGACACAGAATCCGAAGCAGGCTCCAGGGTCTGAGCTGTCAGCACAGAGCCCAACACGGGCCTCAAACCCATGAACCGTGAGATCATGGCCTGAGCCAAAGTCGGACGCTTAACCGACTGAGCCACCCAGGCGCCCCAGGATGGGACATTCTTAAACAGGACTCAACACTAATAAAGAAAAGTGCTAAATCCAATTGCGTTAAAATTAACAACTTTTGTTCACCAAAAACACTTAAAGGAAGTTAAAAGGCAAACAGGGAGGCTACAAACTGAAGGCAGAACCCAGGATGCGCTACCAGTGAAGGGTCACTTCCCAGAATGCGGGGACACCACAGGCCAATGAGGGACAGACAACCTATAAATAATAAATGAAGATTATGAGCCAGCCTTTTACGGAAGAGGAAGCTCATGGTCAGAAGGCCAAGGAAGAGGTGCCCAGCCTTGCTGGGAAGCAGGGAGCCGCCATCAAATCTGAGCGCTACCACCGCACACCCTAGCGATGGATGAGGAGGCGGAAGCCTGACGACATAGCGTCAGACAGCAGGAAGATGAGTGAGAACCTGTTGTGCCCGTCTGCTCTGGCACCTTCTAGACGCCCTCCCAGCCAGCAGGTCTCCTGCGGAAAAGCTCTGATAACATGTGCGTCGGGGCCCCTGCTAAGTCTGCCAGCAGCCAGGTGCCCGGCAGCAGATGGGCCCCGGGGTGACGGGGCGGGCCCGGAATCCCTAGCTACCGCTCCGTGGACGCAGCTGATGCTACAGGTAGAGTGAAGAAAACAGTCCCAGGAGACCGCACACGGCGCCGACTGCTGTTTGTAAGGTTGAGAAGCATGTGGTACAGCGGTCGGGTGTACACACACGGGATGAGACCGAAGGAAACAGTGACTTTTCTTTTTTTAATGGGTAAGCGGTGAAAATAGGAGATGAGGATAGACCGGGGGCAGGGAGATGGGAGAGGAGCCATGTCAGGGTCAGGGTTTTGGATTGTGTGACGTGTTCGGGGAGATGAGTTGTGTTCTCTTGTTTTTACCGAGGGAAGGATGGCCACGTGCGGCAGGCTAGTACTTTGTGACGCCTTGCGGTCGTGAGGGCTTTGTGGCTGCTGAAGTTGAAACGCTGAGGCACTGTGCACGCCCGAGGTGGTCTGGGGAACGAATCCCTATTTCCGGCAGTGACCTTGGTGTGAGCAGGCTTGTTTTGGGTGGACTTCTCGGAAGAGACTAGGCTTTCTTAGTCTTATCTCGTGATGTGGTGGCGACCCGACTCCGCCACCTTAGGCAGCCCTGCCCTAGTTTTGTCCCCGTCCTTCCCTCACAGCTGCCCTATGCGGGACCCTTCATCCACCTCATTCGGGCTGATGTAGGTGACGCGGGAAACGGCCCTAAGTCCCTGCACCCCGTCACACGTGGCGTGTGCAGACGAGGGCGTGAGATGGGGGCAGCTGGGATCGGCCCTCTCCGTGGCGGGATGACCCTCCTGCCCGCAGGTTACCTCTCCAGGGAGGGTCCCCGCGCCGCTCTGTGTCACCGTGAAATGTTAATAAGCCTTAGTGTCTTAGGTTTTTTGGAGTAAGAGTATTAAGAGGAGTTTGAGTGTTTTTCCCCTGTACCCCTGGCTCTCTGGGTGACCCCGGGTGGGCTTGGGCTGTCGTCTCTTCCTCCGTGAACACGTGCCGTGTGAGGATTCTCAAGGATCCTGAGACGTGTCACCAGGCAGCACAGGGGCCCGATTCCTGCCGCGCGCTGGACCACGTCAGCACCAGGGTCTAGCTAGAAAACTTACATTAGTGTCTTTTCTCCACACCCAACATGGGGCTCAAACTCACGACCCCAAGATAAGGGTCACAGGCTCCACTGACTGAGCACCAGGCGCTCCTAAACTTACCATTCTGAGTGCGCAGCTCAGTGGCTTTAGGTCTGTTCATGTCCCCGTGCAGCCACCCGTCCGTCCCAAGTTGAAACTCTGTACCCGTTACAGCCCACGGGCCCCTACCCTCGGCCCCCGCGCCCCGCATCGTGCCTTCTGTGTCGGCGAACTCGCCCACCCGCCCCGCCACAGAAGGGGAGCCCACGGTGTTGGGCCTCTGCGTCGGGCCGACTTCGCCAGCATTGCGTCCCCAGGCTTCATCCTTGTTGTAACGGGTGTCAGGGTCTGCTTTTCCTTTTCGGGCTGAGCACCAGCCCTGCATGTACGTTTCCGCCTCGTTCCTTTGGTGACGGACGCTTGGCTGCTGTGCTCCAGTCTTGTGAACATGCCATGAACGATGAGCGAATGATGAATAATGGTGTCCAAGTACCCGGTCGACACCCCGCTGCCGGCCCTCCTGCGTGTCTACCCAGGGGTGGAACGGCTGGCTCCTAGGGGACTCTGCTTTTGATTTTTCTGGGAGGCACCGCACTGCAGGTTTTCACAGCCACGCACCGTTCCGCACCCTTCTACAGTGCACAGGGTTTCCGGTGTCTCCACACCTTTGCTAACGCACGTTATCTGCTGTTTGTAAACACTAGCATTCTTCCGCGGCTGCGTGAGCAGGCTGTTGCAGGATTGAGTTTGAGACGGGTCTGAGCAACTGCAGAAGGAGAAGTATCGCAGGCGAGAATAATCGGTGTGTGATGGGGTAAGAGCTGCACCTGTCTGAGAATAACGTAGCGTACGTGGGAACTGAGGCCGCGCCTGCCCTGCGACCCCGGGACCCGGAAGGCTGCTGCAGGCGTACACTTTCGGCAAAGTCGCACACGAGAAGGCAGGCGCGGGACCGTCTGTGGGAGCAGACGCACGGGGTCCGCGGAGAGCATGGAAGTGCCACGGCCTCTTCTCGTGAGAGATGCTCCAGTCCACATGCCGGAGCCAGAACTGCATTGGAAGTGCCAGATGGTACACGCCATGGGGCGTGATTTACGGAAACTAAGCAAAAACGCATTTATCCTTTGTGGGCACGCACCCTCGTGCGTTAGTGCAGCAACCACGTAAACGGGAGTAGTCGTGACCTAGTTCAGGACCGTGGTGACCTCTGCTGAGGGCGTGTGGGCTGCGTGGGCCGGGAGACTTCACTGTTACAGCAGCGTCTTCTGAAACACCTAAAGTGGGTTGGCGCTCGATGGTATAGACTTTGTGCTTCTCTTTGCATTTGTAAGACCTCATAGTTTGAGATAAAGGTTAAAATATACCACGTCCAGCCACTGCCCAACCAGCAACAAGTAGTATCACACCCAGCAGAGGGTGGCATGGCGTGGCCTGTGGTCTCTGTCTGGCCCACTGCCGGCTCCGTAGGTTGAGTTCTGTGGCTGCGTGGTGTGGCTGCCTGTGGTCCCTGGAGACAGAGTCGCTGCATCGTGGACTTTATGAGACAGGACGGCTCCCCAAACCAGGCGTACTTACCTCGTGGGTCTATGTGGAAGAAGCTTGGGACGCCTGGGGGGCTCAGTCAGTTAGGCGTCCGACTTCGGCTCAGGTCATGATCTCACGGTTCGTGGGTTCGAGCCCCGTGTCGGTCTCTGTGCTGACAGCTCAGAGCCTGGAGCCTGCTTCAGATTCTGTGTCTTCTCTCTCTGACCCTCCCTTGCTCGTGCTCGCTCTCTCTCTCTCTCAGAAATAAATAAGAAACATTTAAAAAATTATTAAAAAAAAAAAAAGGAAGAAGCTTGCCAAGCCTCCAGACAGCAGCAAGCAGTTTCTAGAAGCAGGAGTACAGAGGTTCCCACATACAAGGCGCAAACTCAGGGTTGTCAGGGAGCCTAAAGCGTTTGTGCTTACTGACCGCTTGATACAGCTTAGAAATGAGAGAAAATGTGTTTCTAAACCTCATTTTGAAAATCAGACTCCCTATTTTATTAGTAAGCAGCACCCAGGAAACATGAAAAGGACCTCACCCAGGTCAGCAGCACCTGCTCCGGGTGCGGGGGTGAGTGTTGGACATACAGCTTTAAATGGGTCATGAGCCCACGCTCTCCAGCAGAGGCAACGCTTCCTTCGTGGCCCCCGAGCCAGCTTTGGGGCATCCCTGTGGGCCAGCCGGTCCCTCTGCTCGGTTGGTGGGGGGTGTCTAGGAATCTCTCGGGGCTCTCCCCCTGCGGTGACCGCCCCGCCCGTGTCTGTGCAGGTCACCAGGGCAGCTTCTGCATGCTCTGCGTCATGCAGAACCACATCGTACAGGCCTTCGCCAACAGCGGCAACGCCATCAAGCCCGTCTCCTTCATCCGAGATCTGAAAAGTAAGAGTCGATTCATCTGTAGTGGGCGCCGGGGAGGTTGACGGGGGGCAGGGGGGATCGGGAACAAGGCCACGGTCCTAAGGCTTCTTGGAACAGTTCTTTGGTGCACGTGCTGGCACCGGGGTGAGCGGGGAGGGCTTCGCGTGGGGGTGGTTGCTGCCCGCCACCTGAAGAATGTGGCGGTTCAGGCCAGGTGGGGGGAGGGGCTCCTGTGACCGTCACCGGAACCAGTTAACGCAGGGTGACGTCCCTGGTTCTGAAACCTGTGTGTGGCATTGCTATGATCCATGTGTGCTGTGCTGGCTCCTGGAAAAGTACTTAACCAGTGGACTCCACATTCGTAGCGGCTGGTGTCCAGTGGCCTCTGGCTCTTGTGTTACGTGTGCAGAGTTTAAGCTCTCGGGTCTCGGTGGGGAAATCTCTGCCCTGAGGATGGGACACGCACTTTGCACAGAGCTCTTGATTTCCTCACTGGCCGCTTTGCAGAGGTTTCCTGTTTACCCTTGGGACAGCAGGGGGTCGGGGGCGAACAAACGGAGGTGGGTTACGGGGGGAGAAGGTGTGAGCTCTCGCCTGCCCGTCTGATGCTTCTGTCTGTCTCCAGAGATTGCCCGGCATTTCCGCTTTGGGAACCAGGAAGACGCGCACGAATTCCTCCGGTACACCATCGACGCCATGCAGAAGGCCTGTTTGAACGGCTGTGCCAAGTATGTGCTTCCCTCCACCCCTTCCCTCAGGGGCTTCGCCCCCACCTCCCCCCCCCACGTCGCCATGGAGATGGAAGGCTGTTCTTGACGAGGCAGCCCCTGCCCCTCTCTCCCCAGGCTTCCTTCTGTACACCCTTGCTTCTGGGCCCTTGGCCCGCTGATGCTCAGGTGAGGGACTGCAGGGCTCCCCTGGGGCACCGCCCAACGGGGGCCGTGGGCACGGGGCTCTGTGCCAGCAGCTTGCCCCAGGGAAGATGCTCTGGCAGATTCTGAGGGCGTCTGTCGTTGTCCCGAACTCTTCCCGTCTTTAAAAATCACCTCGTTATTTTGATACGGAGGCTGGGGGTTTGGGTGGGAATTACATCTTTATGAACGAACTTGAACATTCGAGGGTAGGAGGTTTATGATTTTTGAGTTTGCTGCCTGCGTGGTTACTGTGTCTTCATTTTAAATTTGGGAGCGTGTGACAGATCGCTGATTATGCAGCATCTTCCCTTCTGTGACCCAGTTACCGTCAGGGAAGCTTTGTACGGCTCCTGGCTCCCGGGTTCAAAGAGGAACAGGCCAAAAATGCTCCCTGTTCCGTGGCTACTGTCATGACTTAGGGTACAGCTGAGTCCTGGACCCTGGAAACGCACCTCAAACAAGAAACATCTGGAATGACCTTGAGCAGAGCTGAGATGTAGCCATGACCCTGGGAAAACTCTGGCCTCACCCGATGGGATTGTTCTTAGAGCCCAAGGTGTTTGCCTGGGCTCCTCGACCTTTGCTGCTTGCGGTGCGAGAGCTGCAGCCTGGACACCTACTCTGCCTCTCCCCTCCCTGCAGGCAGAGGCAGGGCCTGCCCTTCCCACGCGTCACCCCCCACCCCCCAGCGGTAGCTAATGATCTGTGCTCTTTGCTGACCCCTCCTGCCCGCCAGGCACAGTGTTAGCGCAGGGTACTTCCGGCGGAAGACTTGGGTCTGGAGGTGGAGGAGCTCAGAGTGATGCAGGAGGCAGATGCCGGGCGGCGTCTACAGGGTCCTGCGGTCGGCGCCGCGGTGGGGCCGGGGAGGGCTGGCATCTACAGGGTACCAGGTCGGCGCCGCAGTGGGGGGTGGCTGGTGTCTACAGGGTACCTGGTCGGTCCCGCGGTGGGGGCGGGGAGGGCCGGCATCCACAGGGTCCCAGGTCTGGGCCGTGGTGGACGTCACCTCGGGAGCCTTCCCAGGAGATCCCACCGCGCTCTTGCCTGCAGGACGTGTCGCCCCGGGGCTCGGATGGGGGGAAGGAGGTGCAGGGCGGGCGGCGGGGGCGTGGCCTCCGTGCGGTGCGGGTGTGCGGAGCCCGTCCCAGGCCTGGTCCCGGCGCGGAGGCACCTGAGAGGCCCCCGGGCGCTCCAGGGGCGGGGGAGTGCGGGACGAGTGGGGAAGTTTGGGGTTCGGGCCTGTGGGTGGGACGAGTCCAGGGGAGTCTTCGAGGTGCAGGCCCAGAAGTGGAAGATGAGCGGGTGTGCCGTCAGGTGAGGCGCGCGTGGCCGGCAACGCGCAGCGGGGAGTCGGGTGCTTTCCACGCACCGTCCGTGAGAAAGGGGTCGCTGGTCTTCGGGAGATGAGAAAAAGGGAAGAGGCCTGAGCTGAATTCGTTTGATTTGCAGGTGAAAGCGACCTTTTTGTTCTTTTTGATTTTGTTAAAGACTTTTAGTTGCACTTGTGCGCGGAGCACACTTACAGTGTCCCTACTTCACGGAACTTCCTGGTGCGGGCTCTGACCCAGTGCGTGCGGACGGGGCTCTGTGTGTGTCCCCGTGCACCCGACGCAGTATAGTCCGTGGTTGGGGTCGCTCGTTGCACGTCCGTCCTGAGGCCTGTCCACCCTCGCGTCCTCCCTGGGGGGTCCCTGCGCCGGAAGGGTGTCTGATCGCAGGCGGGCGCCAGCCTCCTGTGCCTGCTGGAGCGCTTGCTGTGGAGCAGCCGTGGTCAGAGGGGCCCCCAGACCCTTGTTGGACGGCCACCGCCTCCAGGGGCAAGTGCAGCCCCTTCCTCGGGTCCCGTCACCCAACCTGGCGTGATGCTGTGGTGAGATTATCACAGCACGACCCCGTGTCTGCCTCTCTCTGGGTTCCCTTTGCTCTTTAACCCTGTTAAATAGACGCAGGGCTGCCTGAGGCCGGTCCCTCTCTCCTGTCCTTGCAAGGACCTTGCCTTAGAGGATTCACGGCCTGTAAAGTGCGGTGGTTTCACGGGAACGTCTGTAGCACTGATGCTGTCGGTCGGCTTTCCTGACACCTGGGCAGGAACCAGGGTGACATCTGTGGCTCACGCACGTCATCTCTGGGACCATGTGGGCCAGAGCGTCTTCTTTCTGGCACAGCCTTACGCAGCGGGCACGTGGTGTCAGCAGCGTGACCTTGGATCAGCTCAGTTCTGATCTCTTGGCTCGCAGATGCGCAGCAGTCAGCAGGCGCCATGCCCGAAACGCGGGCGTCCCCGATGGAGTGTGCACGGGCACCTGCGCGTGGCCCGCGGTGGCGCTCTGCACCCATCTCCGGGCAGGCGCACGAATGGCCTTTATTTGTGTGAGAGGCCTTACTGTTGCATCTTCCTTGGTCAGGGTCCCGGTGAGTGGGGGTCCCCGCTGACCACCTTCTCTGGCGGCCCTTTCTTCGCCTCGCCCACCGGGACGCTTCCCGCCTCGGCGCACCCCTCCCCCGACTTCACTTGAATCTCCCTCGAGCCCCATGTAATTCCGGCCTCATTTCCCACAAGATTTCCTCTTTTTTTTCCCACATCAGTTAACTTTCTCCATTCACTCTTTTTCACTCTTGGTCCTGAAGCTTCTTACAGTGGTTTTCCTCTCCCTGGACACTTGTTTGAGGATGGTTAATTCTGCTTGGAATTCTGTCTTCTGCCTCGTGCGTGCTTCCTGGGGGCTCGTCTCCATCAGACGAAGTGGCTCTGTTCACGGCTCTGTCCGGCGGTGCCCGTGCTTCTCCATCCAGGGTGCCGCGAGCGCTCCTTCTGTCCTGGGCGCCGCGTGGCCCGTGCGTGTCTCAGGGCCCCGTGTCCTCCTGTGCCCGGCCCGCCCCCCCCCCCCCGCCGCTCCGGTGAGGTGCCCTGAGCCTCGCTCTCCCTTGGGCTCCTTTTCCTGCGGGCACTCAGGGCGACTCCCGCTGCCTCCGGGTCCCTGGGTCCCGGTCTCTCCCTCGCTCGGGCTTCTCCAGGCCACCCCTCAGTGTGTTGGAGACGGCATGCCGGTACTGGGCCGAACGCACCGCCGCCTCTGCGCGGTTGTTTGCTCCAGGCCAGCTCGGGGCCACCCGGGTCTCCACAGCTGCCACCACGTGTGGCTTCCCACACGCTTCCAGTGCATGTTGGGATCATGTCCTCGGTAGTCCGAGGAGTTATTGTCCCTCCTTTCAGGGAATGGTGGTGACGCTACGTGGTGGCGGCTGATTTTCGTTTCCTGACTTTGCGAGATGAAAACCTACCCTTATGTTGGTCCCCGTCGTGCAGAGTTGCACGTGTCCGGGAGCTCCTGCGGCAGGGCCGCCCGCGCACCGAGGCAGAGAGGGGCCCAGGGCAGGGCGCCACAGGGAGGCATCTGCAGACCTGGGGGCGTAGGGGAGGGCAGTGCATTCACAAGGACCCCTGTGGCTCCACTGGCAGCTTGGTGGGGCAGGTGGGCGGGCGGCTAAGGCTGAGGGGGGTCTCGGATCCTAGTTGGTTGATGGGGCCAGGGATTTGGGTACCGCCCGCGCCCGTGACCGCTGCTGTCCTGAGCGGGTGCGAGGAGGGTGGCCCTGCTTGCTCCCCCTTTTAGCAGGTAAGAGACTGGGACATAGGACAGCCAGGCGTTGGACGGGGCGGGGGGTACCAGGGGATTGGGGCGCTTCTGCTGTGAAACTGAGTGGGCTCACAGGTGCCCTTCTCTGGCCTCTCATTTCCTGTCGAGGGGTGGGGGGTGGGGGTGGAGGTCTTGAGGCCGCTGCCGTGGGGGGCAGCCCGGGCCAGTCAGAGGTGTGTGGCGCAGCCAGGGACCCGCCGAGGGGCCGGGTGAGCGAGTCTAAGACGGGCCGTGTGGTGGGGCTTCCCCATGGCGTGCTGGGCCCCGGAGGACGCAGGGGGCGGGGGCTGCTTCCTGTCATTTGCTTGAAAGGCTGTGCCCTCCTTTCCAGGTTGGATCGTCAAACGCAGGCGACCACTCTGGTCCATCAGATTTTTGGGGGCTATCTCCGATCGCGGGGTAAGTGAAGGCGCTTTCTTCATGCCTGCGTCGGGGGTAAGTGTTAACCAGGAAAGGCTGAGAGTCCGGGTGCGGGGGGGACGCCTACTGGGCCAGCGGACCTGGGCGGGCCCCTCTGGAACGCACCCCCGGCCGACAACACCCTGTTCAGGGAGGAGGTCTGGAGCCGAGCGTCCCGCACGCGTAGATGAGGGGACAGCGTTCTTCCTCTGCGCCCCGCGGTTGTCACCCGCTGCTGCTGCCCTTCCACGGGGGCCTGGGGCCCACTGAGGCCACAGTGTTGGGCGGAGGCTGTCCCGGGGCTGAGGGGTATTCTCCCAGCTCTGGGAGTTGGAGACGGGGTGGCACGCCGGGTCACCTGCTCCCACCCCACCCCCGCCGTGTTCCCTTGCAGTGAAGTGCTCAGTGTGCAAGAGTGTCTCGGACACGTACGACCCGTACTTGGACGTGGCGCTGGAGATCCGGGTAAGGACCGTGGCTCCGCCGGATTGGAAACCAGGGAGGGCACACTACCCAGCAGACAGGGTAGGAAGTACCGCAGCGCTCCTGCCTTGAAGTAGGGCTACCATTTTTGCACGTGGATTGTTAGGTTTTTTCCTGAGTGTGTTCTTTTCATTTGAAATGAGATGTGTCCCCAAGGCATGAGGGGTGAGCCTCGGTGCGCGCAGGACCGGGGCGAGCCGCTGGCGTGCAGGCCTTCGGGGGACGAGCCTTGTCTCACTCTGGCCCTCTGTCGCCGCAGCCGGCTGGCCTGGTAGCCCTGCTCTGACCTGAGGGGCCGGGGTCACAGCCAGCCCCCTCCCCCGCCCCTCCCCTCCCCAGGCGGTGCGTCCTGGGCGTCAGAAGGTGGCAGCTGGCAGGCTGGTTCTGACGCAAGTAGGTTGCTGTGACTTGCTGCCTCAGCCTGAAAAAGACCTTACGTCTGCCATTTCTCGAGTCAGCCGTTCTCTGTGCCGTTGATTCAGTCCCGCTTTTGTGCCCCCAGCAAGCTGCTAACATCGTGCGTGCCCTGGAGCTCTTTGTGAAGCCAGATGTCCTGAGCGGGGAGAACGCCTACATGTGTGCAAAGTAAGTCCCGTTCTGCTCACAGGAAGACCCCGGATGAGCCCCCCGACCCGCCCGACGGCCACCCCCGCACCTGCCCAGAGGTGACCGCGGTGCACGGCCCTTGGGGAGGACGTTTGGGTCTTAACACGGAAGCCACCTCACAAAACAGATGAAGTGGCTCCGGTTTTGTAGCTGGTGTTTGTGCACGTCGCGCTCAGGATGCGCGAGTCCCTGTTTCGAACGCTCCTCACCTGGGAGGCAGGGCCCTCGGCCACCCAGAGTGGCAGGGTGACCCCACGTGGCCCTCTCTCTGCCCCGGCCGGTCTGCCGCCCCACCTCCTGGATGAGCCGCCTCTGTGGCCTCCGTACCTGTGACCTCGCTCTAAGGGTCGCGTAGATTTCCTCTGTGGTGGGTGTTGTCCTTACCTTTAGCTCATTCAGAAGCTACGGTCACTCAGGATTCTTTTTCTTTTTAAAATTTACTTAGAGAGAATCCCAGGCAGGCTCCACACGTCAGTGCAGAGCCCAGCATGGGGCTCAAACTCACAAACCATGAGATCATGACCTGAGTCAGACAGTTAACCAACTGAGGCACCCAGGCCGCCCCCGCAAGGATATTTTTCTTAATGACACTTTTCAGATGTATTACTCCTGCCCTTTCTTCTCCTGTCGAGATTTGTCTCCCGGTGCCCTGGAGCTGTCTGCTCTCCTCGCCTCCCCCCCCTCTCCGCCCCTGGCCTCCCGGCTTCACTCCCAGTGGCTGTCCGCCCGCCCTGCGTCCCCAGGCTGCGCCTGCGCCAGCTCGCGCCTTCCTGTTTGCGGGTTGTTCCGTGTGTGGGCGACGGCTTCCTTGAGGCTTTATCGCCTCCAGCTTTCCTCCGGCCCCCGGTTCCCGCGGTGGCGCTCCTTCCTTCAAGTCGCGGGGGTTCGTATCTAGGGACGCAGAGCACAAGCCGGTACCTTTCCCACTTGCTGCCCTCACAGATGCAAGAAGAAGGTTCCAGCCAGCAAGCGCTTCACCATCCACAGAACGTCCAACGTCTTGACCCTCTCCCTCAAGCGCTTTGCCAACTTCAGCGGGGGGAAGATCACGAAGGTGAGCGCTCACGGGGGACCCGTGTGCTCAGCCAGCTGCCCTTGAGGAGTATGAGTTCCGAGCTCCGCCCCGAGCCAGTGACTTAAAGTCTCGGGAAGACAGGGTTTAGGAGCTGGCATTTGTGCAGCGATCACCCAAGTGATCATTACTTTTTAAGTATTTATTTTTTTATAACAAACTGAGTATTTTAGATTTTTTTAGATTTGTTTTTTTTTTAATAGTTTATTCTTTGAGAAAGAGTGCAAGGGAGGGGCAGAGAGAGAGGGAGAGAGAGAGAATCCCAGGCAGGCTCTGCACCACCAGTGAAAAGCCCAATATGGGGCTTGAACCCGTGAACCGTGAGATCATGATCCGAGGCAAAATCAAGAGTCAGGGGCGCCTGGGTGGCTCAGTCGGTTAAGCGTCCAGCTTCAGCTCAGGTCATGATCTCATGGTTCGTGGCTTCGAGCCCCACATTGGACTCTGTGCTGACAGCTCGGAGCCTGGAGCCTGCTTCAGATTCTGTCTCCTCTCTCTGACCCTCCCCTGTTCACACTGTCTCTATGTCTCTCTCAAAAATAAATTTAAAAAAACATTTAAAAAAAATTAAGAGTCAGATGCTTAACTGACTAAGCCACCCAGGTGCCCCATGAGTCTTTTAATTTAATTTACTATTTTGTAAGCTTATTTATTTTGAGAGAAAGAGCAGGCACACTCACAAGTGGGGGAGGGGTGGGGGAGAGAGAATCCCAAGCAGGCTCTGCCCTGTCAGTGGGGCTCAGACTCAGGAACTGTGAGACCATGACCTGAGCCAAAGTCAAGATCTGGACACTTAACCAACCGAGCTTCCCAGGCGCCCCTGTTTTACTTCATTAATTTTTTTAAAGTAATCTCTATGCCCAAACTGGGACTTGAACCCATGACCCCGAGATTGAGAGTCAGATACTCTCCCAGCTGAGCCCACCAGGTGCCCCCGCATGATGGCATTTTTAACAGAAGATGTCGTATCATAAAAGTAGTTAGAGCTGACTGGTTGGGGGAAGGTGCTTGTCTAAGCCTCCATTTCCTTGCTGGCAGTGATGGAGGCTGACTTAGATCAGCATTTCCCAAACTTGTATTCTGTAGGATGTCTGTGCTGTGTGTTTATAAAACACCGTGTTTTGCACGTGCAGCTGTGTTGTACTTTGAAAGCATTCTCTGCTCAGCCAAGTTTGGAAACTGCCAAGCTACAGTTCAGCAATTCTTTTTAATTGCAGGCCTTCTCAGAGCCTTTATTAATAAGCTGTGTTGCGTTTTGAATCTCCAAGAGGGGACTTCTATTGTGAAGGATTTTCTGAAGTTAGTTGGGGATCCAGTCATTCATCCATTAATTTTACTCACACTTACGTGCCTACACCATGCGGAGCCATCAGTGCACTGGGAAGTCAGTGGGACTCAGCAGTAAACGAGATCGTCGTGGTTTTGCCCTAAAGAGCTCATGTTTCACCTTAATATTTCCTGGAACTAGTTTTCCGTCAGAACACAGTTTGAGAAAAGTGGGTTTGTTTGATCTGAGGGCCCACTTCTGGCAAGGTTGGACTGGGGCTCTGAGCTCAGTGTGTATTGAGTTTTTTGAGATTCTGAGTTTGTCAGCGGGAGGAAAGAGCTATGTGGGGTCAACACCACCCCCACACGCACCATGTTGACCTAAAGAAACCAGACGCGAAAGAGTACCTGCTCTGGAGTCACCTGAGGGGCTCAGTCAGTTAGATGTCCGATTCTTGGTTTTGGCTCAGGTCACGATCTCACGGTTCAAGTCCCTGGTCGGGCTCTGCGCTGATGGCTCAGAGCCTGCTTGGGATTCTCTCCCTTCTCTCTCTCTCTCTCTCTCTCTCTCTGCACCTCCATCTCTGTCTCTCTCTAAATAAATAAATAATCTTTTTAAAATTTCTCTTTAAAAAAAAAAAGGACATGCTCTGTGTCTCGAGTGGTGTAAAGCCCAGGGACAGGCAGAGCTGATGGGTGACGACAAAGCCTGACCGTGGGTGTTTGGGGTGGAGCCATCTCCTGGGGTGCGAGCAGATCTCTGGCTCGATGGGAATATGGTTTAGTCAGTCAGGAGACCTTGGTCAGACCCCTCCCACTATGCATGTGAGAGCCCTGTGGTTCACGGTGTATAAATCACACTTCATTTTTTTTTATTAAAAACTTTTTTTTTTAACATTTGTTTGTTTTTGAGACAGAGACAGAGCATGAGCAGGGGAGAGGCAGAGAGAGGGAGACACAGAATCTGAAGCAGGCTCCAGGCTCTGAGCTGTCAGCACGGAGCCCAATGCGGGGCTTGAACTCGTGAACCATGAGATTATGACTTGAGCTGAAGTCGGTCACTTAACCGACTGAGCCCCCCAGGTGTCCCATACTTCATTTTTAAAACGTCTGTTTGTGTATAGGCAGAAATGCAGGTAAGTCTACCATTCAAAGGTTTTCTTTTTTTTTTTTTGAGAGAGAGAAATAGCAAGGAAGTGTGAGCAGGGGTGGGGGGAGAGAGTCTTAAGCAGGCTCCATGCCTCACATCAAGCATGGGGCTCGATTCTACAAACTGTAAAAATGACCTGAGCTAAAATCAAGAGTCAGATGCTTAACCAACTGAGCCACCCAGGCGTCCCCCAAAGATAAGTTTGGAAAATGCTTCCCTCCAGAAAACTGTCGAAGCTGAAATAGATTCTGGCACGATCTCTGTCCTGATGCTCTCGCTTCTGCTTTTGACTTTTACTGTGACAGGTGACTGCACTGAGCCCCGTTTTCTCTGAGGACCCAGACCGGGGCATCGTCCCCCCTGTCCCCCCCCCAGGGGAGGGAACGAGCTGTTTCTCTCGCCTTAGATGCTGGAGTCCACGCAGGGGGAGGGAGGAGCAGACTGCACAGCACTTGACGGGACGATAAAATAGGGTTTCGTGTCGGTTGGAAGAGACTCTTTTCTCTGCTTTTTTTTTTTAATGTTTTATTTATTTCTGAGAGAGAGAGAGAGAGAGAGACAGTGTGAGCAGGGGAGGGTCAGAGAGAGAGAGGGAGACACAGAATCCGAAACAGGCTCTAGGCTCTGAGCTGTTAGCACAGAGCCCGACGCGGGGCTCGAACCCACGAACCATGAGATCATGACCTGAGCTGAACTCGGATGCTCAACCAATGAAACCACCCAGGCGCCCCACAAACTGTGCTGCCCTCCCCGTACCCCCCCCCAGCTGTCAAAGACCAGCTGAATCGTGTGTTTTGTGTACTTGTGGCGGGAGGAGGCAAGTTGACCTTCCTCTCAACGGTGAATTCCCATCACCTTAGCCTGGGCTTTTCCGGCAGGACGTAGGCTACCCGGAGTTCCTGAACATCCGCCCGTACATGTCCCAGAGCAGCGGCGAGCCCGTCACGTACGGGCTGTACGCGGTCCTGGTGCACTCCGGCTACAGCTGCCACGCGGGCCACTACTACTGCTACGTGAAGGTCAGTGCTTCCGCGCCCAGGGGTGTCTGCGGCCGGCGGCGGGGCGTGCTCTGCCCGCGGGGACAAGTGTGCGCGCCGGTGTGCGCAGGTCCGCGTGTGGCCTCTGCGGAACGTGCGCTGGGGAAAGCGGCCGCGTGTGTGGCTGTTCGGTCCTGCCGTAGCTTCAGCGAATGGAGGGCAGAGGTGTCTTTAGAACCCGTCGCTGTGGGCTCTGTAGCGCCCTTGGGCTTGCTGAGGCTCCAGAGGGAGGCTGCCTCCAGCAGCCTGGAGGAGGCCCGGGACAGCCGGGGATTGGTGGGAGACGCCGCGCAGATCAGACCCAAGATCTTCACAGGGAAGCTCGTGTCTGGTGGGCACCAGGAAGGGGTGAGGGTTCGGGGCGAGAGGAGCGTTGGACGTTTTCACATGAGATCATTGCCAGTTAGCACATGGGTGTGTGTGGCAGGTGTTTTTCACGTGTGTTTATTTTTGAGAACGAGAAAGAGCATGAGCCGGGGAGGGGCAGAGACGGGGGGCACAGAACCGGAGCAGGCTCCAGGCCCAGAGCCGAAGTCGGACGCCTTGCCACCTGAGCCACCCAGGCACCCCTGACAGCAGAGCGTTTTATTTCCTTCTCTCAGAGATAAGGCTTACAGGATGCGTGCTGACTGTTCCGTTTTGCTTCGTTTTCTCCCACACCCCGTGCTGCTTCAGGCGAGCAACGGACAGTGGTACCAGATGAACGATTCCTTGGTCCATTCCAGCAACATCAAGGTGGTGCTGAATCAGCAGGCCTACGTGCTCTTCTACCTGCGGTGAGGAGCGTCTGCCCCCGCGTGGGGGGGGGGGGGGGGCGCCCGCGAGAAGTGCTCCGTTGGACCCGCCTGCCTGGCTGTCGTAGCCGCCAGAGCCTTGGGGAGGCCAGGGCACGACTCCATCTGCTCCCCGCTGCGGTGACCTCAGATATAAACGGGAGGGTCACCTGTTATTTTGTGTCGCTGCCCCAGATGAGCTGCGCCGTGTGGGTGGCCGTGGGGCGGGGAAGCGTGTGGGTGGAGGGCGGAGGCCCCGTGTATCGCGGCTGTAGTCACCGACCTGGAAGTTGGAGGATGGGGACGCCGTAGGTATTTGTGCTGCTTCGTACGCGTCCTGCTGAATTTGGACGCAGTGATCGAGGGGCGGGGGTCTCTGGCTTTCCGGCAAAGCGAGTCCGGTGTCGGAAGGGCTCTGACCCTGATTCGCTCCTTGCTACTACTGACTACCCCGGACGGCCGGGGCTACGTGACAGCCCCGCGGAGAGAACTCAGGGAGCCGGGCTGTTTTCTCCCTCTGGCAGAATCCCAGCCTCGAAGAAGAGCCCTGACGGCACCCTCCCCAGGGCGGGGTCGTGCGCTGCCGGCCGGGCCGCCGTCGCGGACCACTTCAAGAAGAACGTTGGCAACGGGATTCTGTCCTCCTCGCTGACCGGAAAGGTACTTGTTTACAACGATCTGTGTTTATGGAGCGGATCTTCCTGCCTGTGCCTCGGGGGGTGGGGGGGTCCTGGAGCCCCCAGAGCTCTTCACACTCAGGGCCCGGCAAGAGGGCTCCGTTTGTCCCATTTAACTCTCTTAAACTGGTCACGAGCTGACTCTGGGTGCAGAGGGGGAGGGGCGGTGGTGAGGAAACCCAAGGGTCCCTTGCGCCCCTACACCAGCCGCCATGGCCGTGGGCAGGGACGGGCTTGCCGTGCGCTCTCTGCGTGATGCGTCCGGGAAAGCGTTGTTATCCTCATGCTCTGATACTGGAAACGTGAGTGGTTTCTAGCAACGTTAATCTTCTGCTTTTGATAACCGTGCTGTGATCCGGGCAAGAAAACGAGCGAGGGCACATCGTGTCTAAAACGTGCTGAGATGGTGAGGACAGGAAACATACGCGGCAGGAGAGAGCGAGCGAGAAATCCAGTGTGGCAGAACGTTAACAGTTAGGAAATACCCTCCTTTTCAAGTTATTTTTGTAGAAAGTTATTTTGTGTGTATTTGAATTCTCTGCTAAGAACCAATCGTGCTGACCACAGTGGGGAGGGGTTTCCTCGCTTCTTTCTGTTGACGCTTCTGGGATTCTCCTGCTGGGGTCTGAATATCAAATCCAAACGCCGGCTGCCAGGCAGGTGGGGCCCTCACGGCCTACAGGGTCTGGTCGTTTTCGCAGATCTGTGCTTCCCTTCCAACGCGGGAGAGCCAGAAGCGTTGGGCTGACGAGCAAGGAAAGGCCGTGACCTGTGGCCCCGACCGGCCCGGCTGCTGCTCAGACACTGCACGGTGGGCAGGGTGTCTGTCCAGCCCACACGCAGGGCCATGCCACGGGCCACGTGCGGTAGCGTCCTGAAGATAACGTTCCACACGTGCTGCAGTTGCACAGAACCTGTTTTACTTTATTGTTTTATTTTTTAATTTTATTTTCTAATCTTTTTAAACACTTATTCATTTTTGAGACAGAGACAGAGCATGAGCAGGGGAGGGGCAGAGCGAGAGGGTGACACAGAATCTGAAGCAGGCTCCAGGCTCTGAGCTGTCAGCACAGAGCCCAACATGGAGCTTGAACCCATGAACTACGAGATCACGACCTGAACTGAAGTCAGATGCTTAACTGACTGAGCCCCCAGGTGCCTCCAGTATTTTATTTTTTATTTCAGAGCACAGATAGGGCAGAGGGGCAGAGGGAGGGAGAGAGCATCTTAAGCAGGCTTCACACTCAGCAAGGAGCCCAACACAGGGCTCGACCCCACAACCCTGGGATCGTGACCTGAGCCAAAGTCAAGGATCAGACACTCAACTGGCCGAGCCACGCTAGTGCCCCAAAAGCCAGTTTATTTTAATTAGCATCATGCAAGTCACATAAACGTCAGTGGTCGATCAACGAGAAGGCCTTGCAAGATGATGTAGACTCCTTACAAAGAACATAAATATAGAATAAATTGTTTTTGAATGTAGAGACAAAAGACAAGGAAAAACTCGGAAGAAAATAGAACTGCATTCTCAGGAAATCTCCAGAAAAGGGAAGACTTTGTAAGAGAGAAAACCTAGAAAAACAAATTGTAAATTGGGTAAACTGAAACTCGAGCTGTTACAAATAAAGAAACAACGAAGCGTCTAAAAGCGAGTGGCAGACCCAACAAAAGGGCACATCTGCCGGGCCCAGAGGACCCGCGCGCCCGACCTGTCGGGGGGTCCGAGCGTCATGGCGATGGGAGCGGCCGTGATGGCCGGTTAGCAGCCTTTGCCGGTGTCAGTTTGAAAAGTGCCCCGGTGGCGAGTGTCGGGCCCCACGGAGTGCCCCCAACCTGGGAGCCTGGGCGTTCCATTCCGAGAGTGCGGCTGGGCCGGGGCGGGGGGGGGGGGGGGGCGGGGGGTGGTTTAGTCCGTCGGTTGTTCGCTCAGCCAGCAGCGGTTGGGCCCTGATTCCTGACTCCAAGACCTGAACCGGCGGGCGGCGGGGGCCACGGCTGCACACACAGGCCTCGCTGAGCGTTTAAACCAGGACTGACATCGTCGCGGCCGGGAGGTGTCTGTGGAGGAGGGGTGGGTACCCGGAGCCCCGCGGCGCTGCTCGGGGCAAGGCGGCGGGCGGCAGTGCCGGTCGTGTCTGTGACTGAGCAGAGTGACAGCGCTTCCTGAGGTGGGTAGATGGGGGAAGGGCCAGGCCGAGAGGACACCAGCGTGTCATCTGCACTGACGTTTAGCCGAGGGGTGTGACTCGGGCACGTTGTTTTTACTTTATGTGTTTTCCTATTTCTTAACTCCTGACCAAAGCATCCTGCTCCTAGTGAACGTGGCCGTGAAGATACCCACGTGCGCACAACTCACCAAATGCCGGAACTGTTCAAAGAAGCACCGGCATCTTGACCGTGTATTCCGCCCACCCCCCAATAATCTGCCTTGAATTGCTTGGCAGAGACCCTGGTCACCCCAGACGGCGCCTCAAGCTGGTGGCTTGCCGGGCGTGACCGTGGCCTCTGCTTGCTCCTCTGCAGCGGCCGGACTCGGCGACGCCGAAGAAGCTGCCAGCCCCGGCGGAGCTCGGCGTGCTCGTTCCCAGGAATGGCTCTGTGCTGGGCCTGAAGTCTCAGAATGGATACGGTCCTCCGAAGCCACCCTTGGGGTCCCCTTCGCCCCGACTCTCCAAAACGCCCCCCAACACGCCGACCATTCTGGATGAGTCCGGAAAGAAAGTCAAAAAGTCGGCTCCCCTGCCGTTCACATCCCCACCACACAGAGCTGCTCAGGGGCCCCACAGTGCCAGCGGCAGGGGCGGCGGCCACAGGCCCGGCTCCTGGGACGGCAGGGGCGCCACCCCCTCCCCCTCTACCTCACCCAGGCTCCCGGCCGCAGTGACTGCCAACGGGCCCACGACGGGCGGCACGAGCCCTGAGCCCAACATGAAGGGTGCCAATGCCCCCAGCCCGGAGCCCTCTGCCAGCAGCGACCCCGCCAGGGCCCCCACGACACCCGAGGGCAGAGCCACCCCATTGGGTGATCCTCAGGGAGCAAACCCCAGCGTGCCGCCAGACGGAGAGGACCCCAAGGTGGCGAAGCCCAAGTCCCCCGTCCCGAGCAGCACGGCCACCGAGCCCGCAAGCATCATGTCTCCTCCACCAGCCAAAAAACTGGCCCTTTCTGCCAAGAAGGTGGGTGTGTGGGGGTCTCGCCGCAGCAAGTGTCTCTGGGGCTCAGAGAGCAGGTTTGGTGGTAGTCTCCGGTGGGGGGGATTTGGGGGGGGCCTTTGGGCTCCCTTGGTTAGAGGCACAGGGTGCTTCTGGGCACTTGGGGTGCACAAGGCTGTCCCGGGCTCGGGCGGGGCTCGGGCGGCCTGGCGTGGGAACGCTGCGTGTGGCTGCCGGGGTGGGGCGAGGTGGTGGTCCGCCGCTAGGTCACAGGCAGGAGGAAGACGCCCCGGGGCGGGGGGGGGGGCCGGTGCATTGGGCGGGCAGGACGCGGGCGGGTGGCACGCGGCTCAAGGAGGTAACCGTTGTGCTGAGATTTTTGTTTAAATTTCCTTCCTTTTTTCCTTTTCGTTTCTAACCAAAAACACTTCTGATTCTTCTTCTACCATTCCCCTCCCCCCACCTCCCCTTTTTTTCTCCTCCTGTCCCCCCCATCCTCCTTCCTGGGCTCTTTCATTTTTGTTTTTGTTTTTTATTTATTTTTATTTATTTATTTTTATTTTCTCTCTTCACTCACGGCAACCTCTTTTAGACCACCAAGTTTTTATTTATGTCAATAACTGCAGGCCAGCACCCCGCGGAGGGCAGCCGGCAATGACCTCCGTCCGCCCCTCTCGCCACTGTCCGACCTCACCTACCCCAGGAAAACCACCCACCCGGTCGCCGCCTCCGCCTGGCCTGTCCGCACCATCAGGTGAGCCGTGGGCGCAGGCCCCGTGGGCGGCCGCCCCTCCCCGAGCTTGACGCAGGCCAGGCTGGTGAAGACTCCCTCGCCGGGTCTGCGGCCGTGCGGGATGGACGGTGGCGTGCGGCGGGACAGGCACGGGGCGCGCCCTGCACCGGCCCCTCCCTCTTCTCTCGGCCGCCGTCTGGCAAAGGAGCCTTGTCAGGTCAGGGCCACCTGGTCTCTGCGGCCCCGGTTGGTTTTCACTTCTGTCTCCGTTTCCCGTCTGCCTGCCGTGTGCGTGTGGTGACGCCCATGTGGCCTGTGGTCCCTCCCCGGCCTCGTGACGGGACCGCACGGAGAAGAGCACAGCAGGTGTCCCAGAAGGACCCTGCTTGGACTAGGTCCCGTGATCCCAGCGGGGGGTGTCTTCTTGCTGCCAGTGTTGTTTTGTTGCGTATCCCACAAGCCCCCCCGCCCCCCCCCCCCAGCAGGCCGGCCTGGCCGTCGGCAAGCACTGGCACTGGCCTCTGGAACTTCCAGAGCAGAGTGGGCGGTGGGGCCCTCCGGGAGGTCCGTTCAGGCTTCAGGCAGACGCGCCTCCCTGCCCGTTACGCACGGAGTGCTGCCGTCCCTCTCGGGGCAGGGCTCCATTGCTGGTGCCCGGTTACCCTGCGGCTGTGACTGTGGCAGGGCCTTGTGACAGGGCCTTCGGCCGCTGGGGAGGGAGGGAGGAAGCTGGGCGAGGCCAGGGGGCACTACTGGTAGTTTGGTGCCACAGTCTGCCCAGGGAGGGTGCGGTCGGCTGCGTGTTCCCGCTGCCCAGCCTCTGCCGCCCTGATGCTCGGCTGGGCCCGCCTAGCATTTTCACAGCGGGCAGGGCCTCAGACGTGGAAGGTGTTTACTGTGTATTTACTATTCTTTCTTTGACACCCGTCGTTCGTTTTTTTTGTTTTTATTTTTTTTAACATCTGTCAGAGAGCGCAGTAAATGGCGTAGTGGTTCCCTCTGCAAGTGTCAGCCTGTCCTGGTCTAAGTGGCAGTAGTCCTGTGTGATGCCATGACCCTTCGAGGCAGGCTTTGCCGTCACTCAGTCCCGAGTGAGAACAGTGAGGCTGCGCGAGGTTTGCTCTGCCAGGGCCCCCTCGCTGGCAGGAGGTGGGCCGGAGAGTCCAGCCTGAGGGAGCCCCGTCCCCGCCCCATCTAGCTGTGGGATCCGCTGTAGGGTCTGTTCCCCTGACTTCCCAGAGCCCCCGAATTGGAGAATCCTGGTGCACGGCCCGTGGGCCTGCACTGGCCCTTCCTACGCGGCTGGCGTCCTGGGCATGGACACCGTGGGGCCCGTGGGGGACCTTCTCCCGGCACGCCTGCGTTGGAAATTCACAACAGGAGTTTGCAAAAATACATTGAACTGTCTGGTGACGGGGACCAAGAGATAGGTTACGATTTTTATTAAGTTTGATCTTGAGTAAATTTACGTTTTATCCTGAGTCTCTTTTCTAACTTACTACGTACGGTGAACGTACGTCTGAAATTGACAGCGGGAAAACCCCCCGAAACCCTCACCTGAACGGGAAGGGGCAGGGGGCGGGCAGGAAGGGCCTGTCCGCGCGTCAGAGCCGCGTGTCCTCACAGGGCGCTCTCCCCCTGCCCCCAGACCGGCCAGCCATCCGAAGCTCCCCGTCAGCCCCTGCTCCGCGCCACTGTCCAGTAGCCCCCGGCCCCTCGGGACGTCAGACCCACAGAGCTGCTGCTCCACCTCTGCTCCCCTGCCTCAGGTCAACGGGGGCTCCCGGGCCCCTCCACGCCAGCTGCCGGAGGCCAGCAAACCCCCCCAGAGCCTCGGTAAGAAGAGGAAGAAGAGCCGCAGGGGAGCGACCCAGGGGCAGGGCTCAGACACGTGCCCCGCGGCGGCGGCCCCTCCTGGGAAGAGGAGAAGGAAGAAGAGGAAGCGCTCGGAGGCCATGGACGCCTCCCCCCTCCAGGAGGGGCAGGTACGGGGGCAGCACTGCAGCCTCGAGCGCAGCAAGGAGGGCCGGGCTGAGGTGCCCGTCGACAGCCTGGAGGAGGAGGAGGCCGGGCAGCGGCAGAACGGCCAGTGCCTGGCAGGTGGCCCACAAGCAGGCTGTGGGACCAGCGGCCACCACGTGAGCAGCAGGAAGAGGAGACGGAAGGGAGCGGAGGGCCTCGGTGCCGAAGACTGCCTCCCGCGGGCCCCGCCGTGGCCCAGGTGAGCGCAGGGCGCCGGCCGGCTACGTGACGTCTGGAAGCCCGGTGCGCCGACCAGGCTTCTGGGACGTGGCCAGGGCATAAAGGGCCTCGCTGGGCCGGTGAAGGGGCGGCGTGGGGCGTGCAGCGGGGCGCAAGCCCCCAGGTCCGCGGGCTCTGCGGCCACACCGGCTGGCCGGTGCCCCTTGCCCGGGTCCCATGCAGCTGCGGACTTTTCTCCCTGACCGTGGCCTTGGATGGCCAGCATGCTTTGTCCTGTTCACGTCTGGGTCAGGGGTCTCAGGGTGGCTCTTCTGTGGGGTCGAGGTGTCTGCCATTTGGGGGTTCTGGGTGGGGTGTTTGGACCTGAACCCCCACTCTCACCCTCCGCTTGCTCCGAGCTGACTGTTGACTGACTTCCCAGGAGCTGCTTGCTCTCGGACGTCACTGGGTCAGAGGCCGGTGCAGCGTCTCCAAGGAAAAAGAAAAAGAGAAAAAGGCAGCAGGAGTCTCAGCAGGAAGTACCGGAGAACGAGCACCCCGAAGCCTCCAGGGGCGAGAGGCGGAGGGGCCCCGCCGTCCCCGGGAGCCAGGCCTCAGTGGCTGTGAACGGCAGGTGTCCCGGGGACCGAGCAGGTAATCAGCCAGGGCCACGGCGCTCTACACCCAGGGAGGGGCGGGCACAGGCCTGCTCTACCTGTCGAGGCAGATGCGGTGCAGGGGGAGGGGCCGACATGAAGACCCCTGCCCTGTCCCCGTGGGTCACCATGTCCCCATCTGGCAAAGCATCTGCTGTAAACACCCTGAGAGGGCACACGTGCACTTCTCGTTCCCCTGATTCGAGGCTCTTCCTGCCTGAACTTTCCCATCGGGATGAGCCCTGGGCCGTCCGGCCTGGAGTTTTTCTGTGACTCTCGAACTTGGAGTGTCGGCTTGTGTTTATACTTGGCCTTTTCTGAAGACCACATGGTCTCCGGCTGCTGGGGCTCCCAGTGCTTTGGCCATCGCCCGGCCTCACATGCCCACGGCCAAGTGACCTCTCAGAACTGGGAGCTCTTGAGACCGTGTGCTGAGTGAAGGGTGGAGAACGTTACCCCAGTTTGGGAAGGGACCCGCAGGCGGCAGACTCCTGGAGGTCTGTTCTGCCGCCTGGGGATCTGGTTACGTTCGTGCCTGTGGGGGCGGGCGGGCTGCTGGGCATCGCGGAGGGTCTGTCCCGCCCCCAAGAAACGAGTGTGACTGAACGTCAATTATAGTGGGAAGCGCTACCAAAGGTGGCCTCAGAGCAGGCTCTCTGTTAGCACACTGACCATGTGGGGCCACCGCCCGGGGCACGTGCTGGGGCTGCGGGGACCCAGCCCCTCATCTGTTTGCTTGTCACCCCAGATGCCACACAGGTGAGTGCTGTGGGCAAGGGCAGTCGCAGCCCAGAGACGGGGAGAGCACCGCGGTGGCTGTGCAGGGCCACTGGGCTGGCCGTGCTGTGGAGCGCAGGGCTGGAGGCTGCAGAGGGCAGCAGGCACTGGCTCTGGGGCGTCGTGCTCGGGACACTGAGCCCAGAGGTCGTAGGGTCATTGACAAATTGGAGGCCAGGAGAGTGAAGTCTGCCTTGTGTTGAGGGAAAGGAGTCCATTCTGGCAGTTGTAGCCAGAGGAGATGGGTCAGAGGTGGGGACCGGGCAGACGTTGTTTCTAGAAGCCTGAGGAGGGTGGGTAGAGCTGCTACCATCTAAGCTGTCCTTAGTGGTCTGGCTGGGGCGGGATGGGGCTGGGGGACTGCCTCCCCGGAAGCTGAGATGACAGTAGCGCTTTGTAACTCCCTCCCTTTCTGGCTGAACCTCATAACCTCAGTTCTGGCCACTTCCCTGGAGGGGGCAGGTTCCCCCTGGAGGAGGGGCTTGTTCCCCCGGAGGGAGGGGCTTGTTCCCCCAGAGTGCTTTCTCACCTTTTTGGCATCAGACCGAGGGCTCGCGCTGCCAGTTACCATTTTCCATCCTGATTGGGAGGTTGGGTTTTTAGTCTTTTCCAAGAGCCCAGGTGGACGGTGGACCCTCTGTGGGGGCGCAGTCAGGTCCCTCGTTCTTGGCACACACGGGTGACTGTCTGATTGCAGGGCGGGCGCAGTCTCCGCTCATGTCCCGGGGCCGAGACCGGGAGGCCGACGTGCTCCAGGAGCTGCTTGCCTGCGCCTCGGATAAGGCCTACGGGAGAAAAGGTACTGGTTTGATACTGGAGAGTGCAGAGCTCTCACATGCGCCCTGGGGTCTGGGATGAGGGGGATCGCTGGGCTCTGGGGATGAGCAACGGAGTGTCATCCAAACACGGGCCCTGGGCGGGGTGGGGGCCCAGGACGCTGCTCCCTGGGGGCCAGGAGAGCAGGCCCTGTACCTCCGGGCGCTGCAGGCCGGGTGGGCGCCTGACACCTCTTCCTCATAACCGAGGGCGAGGGTTTGAAAGGGACCGACTGTGCGGGCTGGCGACACAGCTACAACATGTGCGTGGGTTGACGGAACCACTGACGTCCTGCGCGGTGCAGGCCCCTCTGCCCAACCCCGTCCTTCTCTGTGTGTCCCTTTCGCCGGAAGGTGGCCCTTGAACATTCGAGTGTGTCAGGGGTAGACCCACCCAGGTCGTGCGCCCCGTCCTGGAAGCCGGTGCACAGAGGTGTCTGTTTTGCAGTGTTGACGTGGGACGGCGAGGTGTCGGCCGTCAGTCGGGACGCCATTCAGGACAGCAGGTGGGCCCGCGCGGCCACAGTGATCGACGACTGGGACGAAGAGTTCGACCGAGGGAAGGTACGGCCGTGCTCGGGGGCTGGCGCCGGGGGGCCCGCAGCGGCACCGTGAGGGCTGGCTCGGGGAGCGCCCGACCCTTCGGCGTGGCCGGAGGTGGCAGTGGCCTTGTGAAGCCGTCTGGGGCAGCGGCAGGCGGGCTGCTGGGCTCGATGCCGCCGGCCCGGCCGCTCTGAATGTGGGTGGCCATGGACAAGGCGTCCGTCCCCCGTTAGTTTGTTCCTTCCTCAGCGAGGTGGGGACGGTGGGGACGACTCCCGCAGGCCACACGTAGAGAAAGCTTGTCAGTTTGGTAGCGCCTTGAGAATCGTGCGCCCCCTGCAGTTAAGGCTTCACGAGGAGCTGTGGGAACAGGCGCGGCCCTTTTTGGAAACCTGCGATTTCTTGATGCAGGAAAAGAAAGTGAAAAAGTTCAAGAGAGAAAAGAAAAGAAACTTCAACGCCTTCCAAAAACTTCAGAGTAGACGCAACTTTTGGTCTGTGACTCACCCAGCTAAGGCTGCCAGCCTCAGCCACCGCCGCTGAGCTTGCTGCTGTTGAGATGGGTTAGTGTGCGTGTGTGTAGCGAGGTGGGTGTGTCTAGCGCCTGTGCACGTGTGTGATGAGGTGTATGTTAATGTGGGGAGGTGTGTGTTGATGTGTGGTGTGTATGATGAGGTGTATGTTGGCGTGTGGGGGTTGGGTGATGAGCTGTAAGGGTGAGGTGGGCATGTGGTGGGGGGGTGTGTGGTGAGGCGTACGTCGGTGTGGGTGTGGTGTGTGGCGTGTGCGACTGTGCGGTGCGTGTGTGGGGGACAGAATGGCTCCATGCGATATCCCGTGTTGGGTGGAGTGGACGTGCCCGCCAGGGCTGTGGGCGGAGCTTCCAGGCGCTGCTTTGTCGTCAGGAATGATGTCCTGTGTCCCGCAGCCTCCGGAGACGAGGTGTCCTTCCCGGGTCCTGTCCGTCCGAGCCGAGAACAGCCTTGCCGAGAACCATGGTGCCCCGTGGCCACCAGGCCGGCACCGCGAGCCGCCGCGGGAGGACGGCCCACGGAGACCTCCGGCTGCTTTGGACTGGGGCGTCTGGGGTCACGGCACACACCGTGACAGAGTGCATGGCCGTGCGTACCACGTGTGGCAGGACGCCAGGCTGGCGGAGCGTGTGGCCCACGGGGAGAGCCGGGGAGGCTGGCGGCTGGACCCTGCTGCTGCCACCGGCGCCACTGTCTGGTCCCGGCCTCCCGGTCTCCGCGGGGCGGGGGCCCCGTCTACACCTTACGCGTACCCTGGAAGAGGAAGCCCAGGCCTCCCTTTCGTGCGGTCGGGGCAGCCCTTGCGGTGTGTGCGTCCCGCGCAAGAGACTCCAGCGTCTCTGGAGAGCAGGGCCCCGAAACGACGTGTGGACACCTCTGCCTTTCCGGCCGTTCATCCTGAGGCGGCTTCGCCGGCCCTCCCCCGCAGCTGCGGCGACCCGGGGGCCCTCGTTGAGGTGGTGGTCTTGGCGTAGAACCCTCCTTTTCTTCTACTACTTAACACGAGACTTTCGTTTCGACCAGGTCTGTGGCTTCCATTAGCAATATGTTCCTCCCCTGATACGCAACACCGGCTGCATTTGCTCAATTTTGTGAGTGCTTTGGAACTTAGATGATTGTACGACTCGAGAAGATCACGTTTTTACCTTACCCGAGCTGTGCCTGCGAACTTGTAATTTAATAAATGTGCAAAACCCGCAGTCGAGGTGGCGTTTTGCGGAGTGCACACATGTGACCCGGTGCTATCGGGCGCAGAAGTGAGCCTTAGGGTGACTCCCCGCCGTGCGAGTGCGCTTTCTTGCCTCTTGGGAGCGTCCACGTGGAAGTGGACGGATGTCTGGTGTGGACCTGTCCGTGCTGCGCGGCCCGAGCCTGCTGGTGCCCTTGTCTGTCTCTTGTTCCCGAGCCTTGCCGCGCGCTCCGGGGCCTGGGGGGCGGGAGGGGGGGGTCAGAAAAAGTGTTATGTTTTTCACAGGGGGAGACACGTTAACTTTTTCACGGAGGTAGCTCTGTTTGGTTTTCCCTTCTATTTTTCTATTTCTCTTTGGAAAAGGTGGGGAGAGTGCTAGTAGGCGTGACTGCTCCGGGGCTGACCCGGGGCCCAGTGCCGTTTGCTGTTTCAGAGGACGGAACTTCCTTCACGGAGGAGGGTTGTTCCCCCGGTGCCCCCCCAGCCCGCAGTGTTCTATGGCTTTGTCACCTGCCAGTTTGGAGGGAAGACAGGTACCTTTATGGGCAGGGCTTCCCCACTCCCACCCCCTGCAGTGTTGACCTTCATTCTTATATGGGCCTATTTTTCTGGAACGTTCTGTAGTTGAATTGTTCTCAGCACAGAGTCTGTCTCTTTTCTTGCTCCCCCTTCAAACCAGGCTCTCCCCTTCTCCACCGGGTCATTACGAAGCCTCGTACTGAGGAGAACGTGCCCCCTGTGTCTTGGGCGGTGCTGAGCGTGCCTGTCTCCCGCAGTCATGGCGTTCGGTAGGGGCGAGCCCTTTCCTCCCACAGAAGGTCATCGCCACACTGGGAAGGGGGAAGGATGGGCCCGGAAAATCAGTCCAAACTCTAGGAAATGTAAATATATAAACATATAAATAACTAAAACTTTTTAATAGCAGTGATTTGGTTGACTTAGAACATGGGTCTAATTTAACTTTGTGTTGGGGGAGGGGTGCCCCTTCTTCCATTGGTCCCGTGTGGCCTCACTCACCTGCCTTTTCCCGGTGGGCTTAGCCCACCACGTGCCCGCGCACTGTGCCTCCGCTTCGGGGACTGAGGCGCCTCAGACGTTGCCAAGATCTGGCTGCAATAAAGTGAGTTTTTGTGAGCCCTGCCTGTGTCTTTGGGTTTTTTAAATTGTTGTTTGTTTTTTGGGTTTTTTTTTCTCTTTGACTTTTAAAAATTGTTTAAGTTTCTTTCTTTTTGAGAGAGCGCATGTCTTAGTTGGCGGGTGGGGGAGGGTTAGTAGAGAGACTCCCAAGCAGGCTCCACACTGTCAGCACGGGCCCGACACGGGGCCCGAACCCACAAACCATGAGATCATGACCTGAGCCAAAACCAAGAGTCAGACACTTAAACGACTGAGCCACCCAGGCGCCCCAATCTCCCCTTGGTTTTTCAGAGTACATCGCAGCCCCCGGTTCAGGTGAAGGCTTCCCCGTGATGGGTGTTGTGTTAACCCGCCCGCCAGTGCGTGAGAAAAGCGTAGAGCAAGTCTTCGTTAAGAATAGAGAGGAATCAAGGGGTTTATTTGAATGTATTAATAAATATGTGCATTTGAACTTAAGAAAGAGGAGCCCTTTGAAGTAGCTGCCAAGCGTCGTGGGTGATTTGCAGTGAGCACTGTGTTGGGGAAACTTGGAAACCCAGTTGTTTCATTGAGGTTTGCTGCTGTTTGAATTTTTTTTTTTTTTTTTAACCAAATAGCGCTTGGACATGGAGGGAAAGAGGAGAGAGAAGTGATAGGTGTTAGTGAACTGTGTGTTTTCTTCAGTCAGCAAGGGCAACACAGGCCTCGGGTTTGGGATCCTCCCAGCTCGGCTGGTGCCTGGCGGACAGCAGGTGCGGCCATGTGGGTAGCTCCCCTTCAGCCCCTCCTGACGCGGGCGGGCGAGGCGGGCAGACTGGTTCGTGTGCCCCGGAGCTCGGGGTCCGTGCAGGAACTCAGTTTGGGCTCGTGTGGAAAGTGCTGGTCTTCTCAGGCGGGGCTGTCTGCTGAGCGGGAGGGTCCGGGTCTGGGAGTTAAGGGTGGCCAGTGGGCAGCAGGTCCCTGCACAGACGCCCGTGACCGTGACCAGGTTACATTTGGCCAGAGCCGCACCTGTGAGTGGGGGACGGAAGCGAACACGGCCCGGGAAGGAGGCAGGCTTCCAGCCCGTGGGTTCAGTCCCGAGTACTCCGCCAACACCACCGGGCAGGCCTGTCCCCTGAGCTCACACCCAGACATGCCCATCAAACCCGGGGACTGTGCCCCATCACTAAGAACAGGTGAAGTGAGGCCATACGTGGACGCAAACCGAACGGGGTGCCCGGTGGGGTGGGCTCGTGTTCGTAGTTCCTGAGTCAGGCTGGGCCACAGTAGGCTGGGGGTCCACTTGGACCCTGGGCACAGTGGGCATAGAGGCAGGACCACATCTTTTTCATTGTTGTCACTTTTCCAAACTCTAGAGGTGCTGGGTGTGCGTGTAAAGATGAACAGAAAGCTAAATTTCCCAGGTGGCCTGTGGTCTCCAGGGCAGGTACCGGCGGCTCTGGGTGGCGACCACGAGGGTGTCTGTCAGCAAAGCACGGGGTATGTTTTGGGTGATGATTTCGGCGTGAACCACATCGTGCAATCCCCTGCCCGTGGGGAGTTCCCGTGAGCTCCAGCATTATTTGCAGTAAGAGTTTACAAGGTCTGGTTTGCACTCTGGACTCGAGGCCGGTGGGGGTGGAGAGACGGGCGGGTGAGGACGAGCCTTCCGCACGCAGGCCGCTGGCCGGCAGCTGCCCCGGGGCCGGCGTTGGCGGCAGCAGTAGAGAGGTGGGGGCCGGGATGGAGAGGAGGCGTGACGGGAGTGGAAGTTCGGGGCGGGGGTAGCACGGCTCCCGGCCTGGGCGGCCCGTTGAGTGGCAGAACCAGACAGTGTACCCAAGGGGCCGGTGGGCGCCAGGCGCCGGAACGCAGCCACGCCTGGGGAATTTGCCGGTTCTCAGAACAGGAACCACGGGAGAGTCACAGGTGTGGGACGTGGGTGAGCTGTGAGCTCCAAATCTTGGGATTCAGGGAAGTCCAGGTGTTTGGCCACCGCAGGGAACCAGCCGGGTCACTGGAGCGGCCGGCGTGCCCTCCAGGCCAGAGAAGGGCCAGAGTGCTAACCCCCGCCCTGAGTCTGCAGCGTGGACAGCCTGGGTGTAGACGGGACACGGCTGGGGAGGAGGAGCCCCTCAGGGGGCCGTGAGGACGCCTGGCTCTGGGTGGGTGCTCAGCAGCCTGGTTTCCCCTGGCCCCTCCCTCTGGCCACATGCGTGCTTGGGCCCGGCTCCTTCCTCCCTCACCTCTGCATCTGGACCCGCTCTGCCAGCCTCTCGGGTGGTTTTTCCAAACCCTCTTGCTCCCCTCCCGCCTGTGTGCCACTTACCCTTGGAAATGGTTTCTAATCCCACTCCAGGAACCCCCTCCCCCTCCGAGATAGAACCGCAGACCATGAGGAGCCCCCTGCCCTCCCGTCCCCACCTGTTCCTGCCTCCCGGTGACCGGTGGGCGACTGGTGCTTCAGCACTGGTGGGGGCAGAATCTGCTGGGCACGGATGACATGGGAGCCTGGGGGCGGGGCGTGGGGGCGGGCGTGGGTATTGGCACTTTGAACCTCTCCGCGGAGTTCTCCCGGGCAGCCAGTGCTGAGCAGCGCTGTTCTGGACCCAAGGGAGCCTCAGATGTGAGCCTGCGTGAGCACCACCAGGGAGTCGTTCGGACACCCGTGTTGCTGGGCCCGTCCCCGGACAGTCTGATTCAGCAGGTGGGGACGCGGGGGGCGGGGGCGTGTCTCTAACGTTCCCAGGGGCTGCTGGTTCCCACCCAGTGGTTCCCCTGTGGAGCGGCCAGCACGGGTGGCAGTTTGGGAAGGAAGTCAGGTACATCGGCAGAAGACGGGAGACTTGGGCTTGGCCTGTGGGGACCACCACAGACAGAGACGCAGGAGATGTGCCCCCTTCCCTCGGGAGGGCCGGTGCCCGCCCGTGCTCTGGAGGCCAGCCTCCGCCACCCTCCGGGGCTCGCTCTGCCGCCTCCTCTCATGACCCGTTCACTTGTCTGCCATCCTCAAACCCCTCGTCTGTGTGTCCACCCCGGCCTCCGTCTCCGCTTGCTCTCGGCTCCTTCCTCAAGGTCCCCCGTGTCCTTCTGTCATTTTTATTTTAGAGAGAGAGTGCAAGCAGGGGAGGGGTAGGGACGGGGAGACCGAGGATCTGAAGCAGGCCCTGTGCTGACAGTAGCGAGCCTGACGTGGGGCCCAAACCCACGAACCACGAGATCATGACCTGAGCCCCCCAGGCGCCCTTTTTTGTGTCCTTTAAATGTTAAATCTGTTGCATCTGATGCGTGCTGGTTGCGTTAACTGGAGCCGGAATCCATCATCGATACCTCTCGCTGCCCGATCGGTGTCCCCGTGCTGAGTCTTTTCCTGGGTGTCCGACTGCCAGGTGCTTGGCCCGTCCCTTGTTTGCCTCCCTTAGCGTGTCCTGCCCCTCCTGGGCCCCGCCGTGGTGCGGGCTCAGCCCCACCGCACTGCCAAAGCCAGGAACTGGCCACCCTCCCTGCATACCTCCCGCCCTCTAGCCCCCCACACTCCAGCAACAGATCTCATCTCCCCAACTCCCAGGCACCACCACTGGCTCTAAGCTGCAGTCCCCACCATTTTTGTCCTGAACCCCAAGAGTCAAACCAGCTTGACCTCCCGTGGACCTGCTTCCTGCCCCGGGCTCCTGGCCCCCAGGACCATCTTTCAGGACCGGGAACCCTAGGCAGCCACCCCCTACAGAGGTTTCCCGCCCCTGTCGCCTGTAGGCTCCTTATGTAGTCACCGTGACCACACCTGCATGAAGGCCTCCGGGCAGCCATCTGTCGCGGCCTTGGAAAGGCCTGGGGCCCAGGGCTGGGCTTACTCCCAACATCGTCCCCGCCAGGCTTTCCTCCAGGAGCAGCTGCTCTCGGGGGAGAGGAGGCCACCCTGAGGACTAAGACCGCGTTCTGCCACGAGCGAGCGCGTGAGTCTGGGCCGGTTACGTCCCCTCTCTGGGCTGAAAGCCATCGTGACCGTTATTGTCACCGCGGGCCTCACGTGCTTGTTCTCACTGGTTTTTCTCCCGCTCAGCTTCGTGTCACAGGAGTGCTGTCCCTTAGGCAGGTCCTGGGTGTTCAGTGGCTCCCCACCCCCGCTGGGCCAGATTTTAACAGAGAGGCCTGTGGGGATTTCAGGGGCTCTCACGTAAACCGGTGGCTTCTTCCCGGCTGCGGTGGTGAACGAATGCGCCCACCTTCACCTCCGCGTGCTAACAGCTGGGGCGGTTAAGATGTGCCTTTATGTGGGTTTTGCTTTTGTGGTGTTAGAAGTGGTCTGCGTCTGGGGCGCCTGGCTGGCTCAGTCGGTTGAGCGTCCGACTCTTGACTTCGGCTCAGATCATGATCCCAGGGTCGTGGGATCAAGCCCCGCGTGGGGCTCTCTCTCTTCCCCTCTGCTCCTCCCAGCTTGTGCAGGTCCATGCTCGCTGTCTCTTTCTCTCTCTCTCTCTCTCTCAAAAACAAAATAAATAATAAAAATGAAGTGATCTGTGTTTACTGCACGTCTTCTCCCCATTCACGCTTATTACTCTGTTTCCTATCTTCCGAGGCCACAGTCATGTGCGTCCAGTTGGAAGGGACCAGCGGTCACTGTCCAGAGCAGGCCCCGGAAATCTTTGTCAGGGAGGTGCCCTGGAAAAGCCAAGCTTGAAGTATCATTTGAGACTATTCGGCCTCTGCTCAGAAAACGGGCGGCCCGCCCTCCATCCACGTCACTGGCTTGAAATGCCACTTCTTTCTGACGTGGCCTTCTCCGAGCCCGAGCCCCTGTGCGACCCCCTTTGTTTGCTTCACAAGGGAAATCATTTGGGCAAAGTGTGGCGGGAACCCGAGCATCAGCCCCCCCCACCCCCAATCTGAAGTGAGAGTGAATTGTGTGGCACGTGGCCAGCTGTCGTCTGGGCTGCGCGGGAGCAGTTGGTGACAGCTGGATACAATCAAGTTCCATTACAAACAGATTTTAAGTGCCATTCACACAGAAGAAATTGCAAGCTTTAGCAAAATAAAAT